TTAGATTAAATACTAGAGTCTTGTACGAAGTTAAACACACTAAGCTATAGAGGTTTAGTGCCTAAGCTATATACTTAATAAGTGTTGTGCTTAGTATTAAGCGTGTAAGTGCTCGTTAATAAGCAATACAGTGTTAGTCCTAGTTATTAGCTAACTAGTCCTGCTCACTGCTAAGCACCTATTCCTAGACTAGCGCGTACTGCTCACCACTAAGCAGTCACGTAACTACAGCGTGGTTGCTGTGCCGCAATCCTTTAACTGTGCCGCTTAATCCTCTAAAGTAATTACGCTTACCCCTGTCTCCTCCTAGGTGCAGATCGTAACATACAGCTTACGCTCCTGCAACAGCGACGCATAATTATTATATTAACTATTAAGTAGTTAAGATAACAAAACGCGAGCTAACGCTTTTAGCTTTTAATTACTTAAAGGCAAGACAGAAACATAGCTAATCGTCTATCGCAGTATTATCTACTTATAAATTAATGCTGTGGATAGAGTATGTAAAAGCACTTGTAGGCAGGTTCAGGTGTGTATAGCTACTAGGAAACTTAGCAAGAAGGAAATATATCGTTCTTCTCTAGTTCCTATAAGCCGTCTAACAAGCATTAACATATGGGACAGTTATTTTTCGAAGATAATAGATTACTTGACTAATACCTATCTCTTAAACATGCGGAGTCCTATTAATGTCTATTTAAGCTATTGCGTCCGTTTGCGGCAGCTGCAACATTTATAAGTCTGTCTTTACTGTATTTGTATTGTTCCTCCTTATACTGTGCAACATTAGCTTCGTTATATACGAGGGAAGAGAGAACTTGCCTAATACCGATTAAAGCCCACGCCCTCACAAACCTTAGAGTATGACAGTATCATAGGTGGAGCGCCTTTAGTTATGCTCTTCTTTAGCGCCTCTAAAGTCTTACGGATGCTCTTCAACTTCGCAGTAACGAGTGTCCACGGATAAGCCACAGCACAGAATCCGAGGTTGGCAAGATCCTTAGCGGACAAGTTCTGCGTCAAGCCGCCCTCGATGACTAACGATAATAATCAGTTATTAATCTTTGCTGAATGCTGAGAGTGACTCACTGTTAGCAAAGACTGGCATGTCTAGTTCCTCAACGCACTTGCTTATGGCCTGACGATCAGGCAGGGCTTCAACGAAGACGGCATTGACACTGATACGCTTGAACTCCCGGGCACGTGTCATAGCCTCGTCCTAGCCAAGAATGAGTGAGTCAGTGCGCGCAAGTACGAATATATCCTTGCCCTTATTTTGAGCATCACAGGCAGCCTGCACACGCGCAAAAGCCTCGCCTCGTGAGGCAACAGCCTTTCCCTTAGTGTGGCCACACTCTACTAAGTCGGTTAGTTATCTAGAAGCAAATTGGAAACAACATACTCTTCGGCTAAGTCTGGTCCTTAATCATAATGCCAGCTGCGCCAGCTTCGGCAAAGCACTGCACTGTGCGCTTGACGTTCATAGGGCTACTGTATCCTGTATCTGCATCGGCTATGACTGGCACCGTCACCTGTCGCACCGCCTCCTGGATCTTGTCGCACATTTCTGCCATAGCAATGTAGCCTGTGTTGGGTAGTCCGTAAGAGCTTGCACAAGGGTAACCGGCGAGGAAGATTATGGGAAAGCCGGCTTCCTCAACAAGACGAGAAGATAAGCTATTGTAGCTGCAGGCGTGTGCGAGGATCTTGGATGGGTCGCGGTAGGCTTCGAGCATCATTGTGCGCAGGCGAGATGCCTAGAGAGATAGGATGCGACCGCGGACGTTGGGAAGCGTGATGCTCTCATTACTAATTTGCCTAGGCTTGCTAGACTTAGTGGTCGCTTTCTGATCGAACCGGAACTTTTGCGAGGGTTAGTGCTTCTGCTATAGCTTTGTTCATGACTTGTAAAGGTACGTAAAGGGTAGGGAACGGTTCCAACGATGGACTTCGACATATTGCGGGATTGGTAGAATATGACCTTGCGTGATTGATTTTGAGTACTGTGTGTGTCTTTAGAGAAAAGGTCCCTTCACAATTTATGTATTTCTTTTTTCGTGACCGCGGCAGCTTTTCCGCGATCTTCGTTACGTTGACTGGAATGATAAGGATACTTTATGCGGAGAAACCTCGACAGGCTCGACTCGCCTCGCCGGATGGAAAGCGACGGATAGTTCAACTTTCCGACCCTAACCTGGGGTAAATCCGGGGAACCTCGTTTATCAGACTCCTAGTCGATGTACTCTGCAATGCGACAGCGGAGGTTAAAAGTCGTTCGATGGTCATCTCATCTACATCCATCATCCGGCTTTATTACCTAATCTAGCCAAATTGACTTCACCTTTGCACGATCGCCCTCCAAGAAGCTTGACAATGGCAGACATTGAACAAGGCAAGCCAGACATTCAAACAATCGAGTACATGGAAACGGCCGAAACCAAGGTGGAGGCGCACATAGTGCCAGTAGCTGAGGACGTCCAGGCTCGCATCCGTCGCAAGGTATTATCCCCCGACAACCGCTGTAATCCCCACTAATCAGATTTGACAGTTCGACAAGAAAATGCTGTCAATCGTGTGCCTCCTGTATGTCCTTTCGTATCTCGACCGAGGCAATATCGGAAATGCGAAGACTGCCGGAATCCTAAAGGACCTCCATCTCTCTGACAACGACTGGGTGTGGGTCCTCTAGGTCTTCTACATCTCTTACGTGCTGTTCGAAGTGGACCTAACTGTTTTGGAAGATACTGCCGGCGCACGTCTATGTTGCTGCGTTATGCTTTCTGTAAGTTCATTTGTGCTCCTCAACGTTGCCCTCTATGCTGACGCTGGAAAAGTTAGGGTGCTGCAGCTATGTTGACTGGCGCCTCCCACAATGAAGCTGGTCTTATGACCGCTCGCGCGTTCTTAGGGTTCTTCGAAGCAGCTTTTAGAGCTGGTGCACCGTACTTTCTATCGCTCTTCTACCAACGCCGGGAGTTAGGCAAGCGTGTGGCTCTCCTGACAGGCATGTCGCCATTAGCGAACTGTTTCGCTTTATCGCTGGCGTACGGCATCCTCCATATCAAGGCATCGATAGCTCCATGGCGACTGCTCTTCCTGATTGGTATGTGGTATTATTCAGGCCCTATGTGAGCACGGTTGCTGATTTGGGCCTTAGAGGGAGCGCCAACTGTATTATGCGCAGTTCTTGTCTATTGCTGTCTCCCCGATTCTCTAGATACCGCGCACTTCCTGACCGACGAAGAGAAGTTGCAGGCTCGTCAGCGACTTGCCACTGTTGATCGGACAGAGAAGTCGAAAGTGAGCTGGACGCAGGTCTTTGCTGGCCTGACAGACTACCAGAACTGGGTTCATGCTACGATACACTTCTGCTGCAACTACTCATTCGCTGCTTTGTCGAACTTCTTGCCGACGATCGTCCGCGATATGGGCTACAGTTCGGTCAACGCACAAGGCTTGACAGCGCCTGCCTACTTTCTCGCCTTCTTGTGCTGTATGTTCGCTGCCTGGGGCTCTGACAGGTTTGGTAAGCGAGGTTGGTTTGTCGCTGGTTTTGCAGCCATGGGTACCGTAGGCTACCTGATGTTGGCAGCGATTCAAGACGAGACCAAGACAGGACCTTGTTACGCGGCTATCTACCTCGCGACATGCGGCATCTTCCCTGCGTTGGCCATCAACATTACCTGGCTGCTTAACAATCAGGGTGGCGATTCGAAGAGAGGCGCGGGTCTCGGTATCCTGGCAACGTTTGGACAGTGCTCGTCTTTCGTCAGCAGCACTCTGTTCCTATCTCGTGACGGGTGAGATATCTTTTTTCTTTTTTGCTCACGTTCGCAGACGCACTAACTTGACCTCGTAGGCTATTCTACGTTACAGGTTGCGCTGTTGGAGGTGCTTTCAGTGAGTTAGGGGTGGTCTTAGCTCTTGGTCTGCACTAGAAGCTGGAAATCGAGAACCGCAAGCGCGATCGCCTGTACGGCGAGGTAGACACGGACGCGCACGTGAATGTGACTGATAGCGGAGACAAGAACGTCAAGTTCCGTTATCTCACTTAGGCTTCCTGGCCATGAGCGCGATATCGGCCGATCTCGCTGCTACCAGCATGTGTTTGTTCTGATATCGTGTTCACTGCTAGAATAGGCATCTCGTATGCAAGAAATTTAGCCTTCGTTGTCTATTTGAAGAGCTCCAGTCAAGTTTATTAATTGCTGCTCGACTTCCAAAGGTGAGATTGGGCTTGATTGTCGAAGACAGCTACATTCCTAAATTCCATATAAAGTCCAAGGTGTCATCACCCAAGCACTGTAGACCTTGAAAGTTGTCTATGCCAAATGACATGAGACTTGAGTCGAGTGGCAAGCTGAGCCAATTTGCATCTGACGTATCGATTTCTGGCACTTGCTGGAAATCCACGAGTTCGAAATGATTCGCCTCCAGCGAGGCAGCGAGGCCTGGGAACCGAGAAAGATCAAAATTCGGAGGTGTGATGTTGTGCGGCCGAGTCGAGGGCATAAAATGCTCCTGTAGCCTTTTCATGTGCATCTCGAGGAGCATCGAATAACAGCCGCCTAGATAGAGGTCGTCTGGATTGCTGTTCTTCAGCGCTACTATGACTTGCGTCAGGACCTCTAGTGCACCTTGCAACCTAGCCGGGCTGACCCCCAATCCAAGGCCTTTTAGGAGAAATATGGAAGCAGTCGTAATGTGCAGGAAGGTCCTTATCGTGCAAAACCGTAGGAAACTCAGGTCATACAGCTTAATAGCTATCTTAAGTGTATTTAGCGTGCTATTAATGACTTCCTGCACGTGCGCAAAATCGGTGGGCGTAAGCTAAAATGACGCAGAACCTAAGACAGCGCTGCTTAATTTAGCCAGGGTGCGAAATAAAATGGCTTGAAGTCCTAGAGAATACGTGTGCATCCGCGTACTCTCATACTCGAGGACAAGGAGACTGCTGAGGTACGTATCACTTGCTGTGTGGCCTGCTGTCAGCAATGCGAGATAAGAAATGATATCGGTTAGCACTTACAGAGGGTGTTATTATGGTCTTTCGACCAGGCGGTGAGTAAGGTCTGGATATGCTCTGTCATGCTGATATAGCGACCGCTGCGGATGATCTGAGATGTCGTGGTAGGGTTAGGGAAGAGCAGATCTGATATAGACCTCACGATTTTAGTCAATCGTGTCCACGCAGTGAGAAACGGAGTCCATGCGCGTCTTGTATGTCGCTGCCTGCTTGAGAAGTATCCGAGTACACCGCTGAGTAGCTGTTGCTAGGTGTTATCATTGATCGGCGGCCAAGTCGTGAAGAGAGCTGCTCCTGGTAAACATACAAGAGTTTAGCTAGCCAAGTCTTTTGTTGCGCGACTCAACGCTCGCATTGCGCTAACCTTGTATTTGCGCTATTATGCTTGTCTTGTTCGTCAAATATGCCGAGTTCATTGCCAAAAGGTAATACGCAACTGAGCACCATCCAACACATCCGGTCTGATCTGTTGGCCGGTTCGATCACGTCCTCTCGCCATCGTGTCCTAGAAGGGCTGTCAACTGTGCTCCCGTCCTGATCACGTCGATCTTTCACAGTGAACAAGATATCTGAATCCCAGCTGTCACTAGGTGGAGGCGCGTACAGAGCTCGAGGATGCTAGTCCGTCAACAACAGCAGGGCCTCAATGGTACCCAGCGTCCGCGTCTTAGCCTTGGAGTATTTCTCTAATCCTAATACGAGGCGTATAAGTAGGTGCTGGAAGTGATCCCATAGTCTCTGGTGGATCAAATAGCGTCTTGAATGCCCTCCGATAGTAGGCAAAGTGTGGTAGCGAGAAGATATAACCAGTATCATACAAGTGAGGACTGGTTCATGCGTCACTAACAGGTAGTGGTTCGACCGCTCTGCGTAGACTTGATGTCTGTGAGCTATGCTTCACAGAATGAGCGGCGGGCCGAAGCAGAGGAACTCACCCTTATCTAAAATTAGACACAACAGTGCAACGTTCTTAAAGAACGTACATATTAGATTAGCATTTAGCTCCGCCAGATCGAGGCTGGGTGATCTCACATGTCCAAGTACCATACGATCTCTAGAGCTGATAGCCACCCCATACGCACAAAGCAATAAGCGTTCTAGGTGTTAATGAGTTCATTTGAAAGGTCCGGCAACATGTTAGAACTTAGATTGGCAACAGATGAAAGTGGTGTAGAAGCTGCGTTAGTAGCGTGCTGTTCAATAGGCACCGGCACTCGTGCACCATTGACTTCTCTTTCTTCGCGTTGGGCCGCCTCAGAGAGCAGATTTAAAGCGTCGTTGCCGTTTAAGACGACGGTGGTCATCATAGTATTGTTTAAGTCAGCACTGGTAGAACCTTAAGAAATATAACCTGCATCGTCGCGCTGTACAGCAGTCGCTGGTAAAGCATGCACATCTGGCACGGCGCCACTGTGCGTGCCTAGGTCTATACTATCTTTGTTGCCATCCTGGCTCTGGCTGACGCTCTACCTCTGCCGTCTTAGGCTGTGTCTTGTCACGGTATATGTGCAAGGGCGCATCTCTCTGCGACACTTAGCGCATGGTAGCCTAGCGGTATACTCCTCCGCCGTGATCCTGCATTTTGCCTTCTTGTTCTGGCAGGGGACGCATGCTTGTCACAAGTAAGCCCCGAACGTGTGTGAATCCTTCGGATAGTTCCCACCTTTGTATGCTCGATGATACTGTGGTTTGGCTTGATCACCTGGCCTGTTTCTTCCAATCGGTCCAGGGTTGCTTCGGTCGTGGTCTATAGCGAATATTCGTAACACTCAGCATCGCAACGACTCCAAGGAAAGCAACGGAAACTTAAGTGTTCTTGAATAGGCCTGGCTGTCCCGTTTCGATGTCTGCTTTTGCGGGGTAGAACGTGGAGGTGGCTGCGGAAAGCACCGGATACTTTGCCAGGCCGTCCACGCGGGGAAGGAGCGCGCAGACAACGACTTCTAGCCTGACACTGCGTTGCTGGTGTGACCCTACTCAGCATTATTGGATACATGACGCTTGATCCGACAGACGACATCTTATGTGCGATCGTTATCGGAGCACGTTCGTGACTGCGGGCGCTTTAAGGAGAACGCCGACAGATTGTCACGTGATGGCAATGGCGGCAGGTGGTAAACAGGAAGGCGCACCACAGCATCCTCATAACGGTACCACGACAGAGACAGACGGCGGGTCGGGCAGGAGAACTAATTTTCAGTGTCCTATGGTCGTATGTGCTCAGTTGTGGCGGCTTGTAGAATATATTCTGATTGGTTGCCCGTTTCTCGACGCAGGGGTGGTCTTCCAACTGTCCTACATCGCAGTTTCCCGTAGGCTGAAGGACCATGATCGTTAGAACAAAGAAACTCAAAACGAATTCTCGACCCTTGCTTGCTTGAGTTCCCTTGCGAAAGTCCACCAACTGCAACCGTTAGATATAAGTGAATTGGTTCTCGTGATAAAAGTCCTCGCTTCGCGATCCATCCCTAAAGCGACATAGCCACGGCAAATTAGGCCTACTAGCTGAACGCCGTACGCTTGTGGCAGTTAGAACCAACAGGCCATTCAATTGATTTCATCCTTTTTGTGACTGCAAATGATACCCTGGAGTGATTACCTCCGGGGCTAGATATATAAGAGCGTACCAACCTAGACAGCATCCATCTCCCAGCCTTCTAGCCACACTCTGAGCCTCAAATATAAATACACTTATCCTATTCGCATTTCATACTACTCGTTACCAACCTCTCACAGATTGGTGAATTCATCCAAGATGGTGCTCCCTTACTTCACCGCCCTCGTCTTCGGTACCATGCTTCCTGGCCTCAACCTGACCCAATACGCCGACCACTACGACAACGTGCACATTCCACTCGTCAAGTCGCTCACCGGCCCAAACTTTCCCGCCGTGCACACGCGACACTACTTTGGCGGGAATCCCGCCTTTGTAAACGCCAGTTATCCTGTCGATTGGAACAGCATGGCGACCATGGAGTTCAGAGACCAGGCGCATGCGCTGACATTTCTAAACATTATCGGCCAGCCGGCAGCGAAGGCCAAGATCGAGGAGGACGAGCATTTATTCATGGCACATGCGCCGAGGACGGTGATTGTTGGGACAGATGGTAGCGTTTCGTGGCCATAAAAGGTGTGCACGAGAGGGGAGTGTATGTATAGGAAAGATGCACTTTAGAGTTTTGATTATGGTTCCGAAGCACGGTATGGATGAATGGCGTAATACACGCACAATGGACGTAAACGGAAAACATGAAGTAGACTGATACTACGATGTGAGATAATGTAATATCTCTCATCTAAGGAAAGTAGTATTAGGCTCAAAGTGTTCTCCCCGTTTGCTTTTCAATGGATGTCGATTTAGGTACAGGTACATCTGAAAGTACGCGATTCAGGTAGCGCTTACTATTGTTCGGTGGTATAAAGGATGTTCCTTGGTACGTAAGCATCAAAGTTTCTGGAACAACAGTACGAATGTGCACCTGAGTCTACCTAGGTGTCAATCAAATTTTTGTGCTTGGAAAACATACAGCTCTGGAACTTTGTCGAGGAGGAGAACACGTCAAAGACATATTAGTTGATTTGTAAGAAAAAAGCCGCCTTGACCTGTCTCTATACTTCCGCTCACGTTGCGCTCTAGTGTGGTCGCATACTAATCGACATACGTGAGGCTCGCGTCGGCATCTGGAAAATCCCGATGATTAGCTTAAACATATAAAAAGCATTTCAGTAGAAAGCAAGGCCTGGATGAACAAAAGGTAAGATGTACGCAAGATATCTCTCATTTTGCCTACCCTCCACTCACTTCCCCGTCATGTTCCCCCCTCAGCCCCCGTATTGAGCCCCATTGTGTATATCATCTAGAATCCTCCGTGACATAATCAAGCACCCAACACCCCGTTGCAACATGTCAAACATCCCGTAGTAGATCCAACTCAGACGCAACCCAAAAAAAAGAACCCGCCTGCCGTCATGCACTCATTGCTCCGCTGAACGCCCAACAACGCCAGTCAGATCGCTCTCGGAAGCTATGAATCCTTTTGCAACGCCAAAAGTGGGGAATAGAGAAGGTAGCCACAGACAGTAGCCACAGGGAGAACAAAGTTCTCATAAAAGAAGAAGAAAAGCGCGATGAATAGAAGCGAAGTGAAATGAGGTTGAGCGGGGTGAAGATAGCCTGTATCGTTGCTCAACCATTACCGCCTCGTGGTAACACTGAGCGTCAGCTTGGGATTCCTCTCAACCGCGATCTGGAGATCCTCGTCATTCTCGATGGGGTAAAAATAATTGTCCTGTTCATCTTTGTACTCAACAATCAACTCCTCCTCTTCCTCGCCTGGCCGCTCCATTTTCCTTCTCTCAACAAGCTTATTGTAGAGGTCGATGAACTTGAGCGAAATAGGCATACGGATGACGACGCAGTTATCTTCTTCGAACCATACTTTAATCTTGAGGGCAGAGGATGTGCCTGTGCTGGTGGCTGTGGAGGTAGAGGAGTGGTTGTGGGTCATGGGCGGTGGGTTGAGGTTTGACGAGTATGCTTGCGAGGCGGTTGACTGGCCGCGCTGGTGGGAGGGGTAGTTGGAGCCAGTTGAGTAAGGTGTGACAGGTGTTGTGGCTTGCAGTTGATCTGCAGATGATTGTCTGCTCGTTCCTTGTGAAGGGTTCGATGACTGGTGTGATTGCTGTGACAGACGATACTCTTCAGCAGCGACAATATCCGGGTCTATCTCGTAGTCGCCCTGTCTTGGTGCGAAGAAACCTTTGACAAGGTGACCTTGTGTGATGTGTGGTCCTAGCTTGAGGAGGTTCTTGATGTATTCGTCGAGGTTGGCGCGGCGCCCGTTGGAGATGTTGTCCGTTACGTAGGTGACGGGCCCAGGCATGAAGGGTAGTGTTCGCTCGCCTGAGCCACTCGTGCCTGCCTCGACTGGATATGTCGCTATCAGTTGTATCTGCAGGTCGTAAAAGTCCTGGTACAGCCGCTGCAACTCCCAGTGTCGGCCATCCTCCATCTGGCACTCTATAATGAACCAGAAGATGTCGTCGGCAAAGCAGTAGCGTGGCACGCATGCCTTGATGGGTGCAAGCAAGTTGTCGGATGTGCGGTATTGGTTTCGTGGTTGCGCCGTGGAACCGTTGCGCGAGTGAGAGACCTGTATATTGTCAGCCGAGATGGGTGCGCCCGGCGTCAGACAGCTTACCGAGCCGGCCTTGTTGTGCCCTCCGTTGCTCCTGATGCTCATGCGCTCCATGCCTTGTTGCAGCGACTGTCCTGAATTTGTCTCGAGCTTTCCAAGCGGTATGCTGCCATTCTTGTAGTCTGCTGCCATCTTTTTCCACTCTTCGACCTTGGGCACGCCCGCGGCCGTGACTGCTGCCTGTGTGTCGGCGACTGCCTGGCCCGTCGTCATGTCGCGGATCTCGATGAAGGAAACGGGTATGAGGCCAGGACCGCCGAGTCGCGTTATCGGCTTTGCAACGAACCACTCGGGATTGGACTGTGCAATGACGATAATGGCCTCGCCCTCCTTGGCCTCGAGCTCGTCGGGCCGCTCTGCCTTGAAGTCGTAGATGACGATGCCGTAGACCATGGCGCCACGCCCTCCTCCGCGCGACATGCGCATCTGCTGTGTCATGATGTCCTGGGCCGAGGGTTGGGGGCTCGTGATGCGTTCTTGGTAGCCCGAGTCGTGGGGCTGCTGTTGTTGCTGATGCGGTGTGGAGGAGCGCGGCGCAGAGCCACCACTGTCGCGCACAGTCTTGCCTACGCCCTCAAAGTAGGAAACGGGTACCAGTCCACGCGTGCCGTGCAGCGGATTGCAGGCCTCGTACCACTCGCTGTCGTCTTCGCGGCCGACGACGTGCAGAAAGTCGCCCTGTGAAAAGGCCAGGAAGCCAGAGTTTGGGCTGGGGTCGGCGGGCTTGTAGTCGTAAAGCGCTTTTATGACCTGAAATGAGATGGCTGTTAGCTTCGCGCTCATCTGCCCCATCGGGAAGCGGGTGCCGGGGGCGCGCGCATCATGATATGGCGACATGGAGCGACGTGCAATGTTGTTCGACTCGGGCGCAAGTGTGCCGCCCACATGTAGGCACTCACGCAATGCGCGTGGTGCGTCCAAGAGCGAACGACTGCCCCGTCCTTGTGCGCTCACGCCTCGTAGAAGAAGCAGAAGTGGGGTGCTTGGGCCCCGACGTTGATCTACGTACCTTTTTTGGCGGGACAATGGCTATAGCGTCCTTGGGTGGAATTGAAATGTGGTGCGGGCGGTTGTCCTTCTCACTCTTCATACTCCTGCGGAACTAAAGCAACACCGTTAGTACGTACGTATGCGGAGCGTGACTCGACCGGCGCAGCGGCGTGGGTGGCGGCAAAAGCAAAGCAACGCACCTTCATCGTGCAGCGTGAACGCGACTTTGCGCAGCGAACGTCCCGGTGTAGGGAGAGATCAGGAGGTCGAGGGTTGGATGTGATCGCTCGGGGTGTGTTGCTACTATGACTGTCGACCGGGAATGCGGCGTGTGCGTGCGGGGGCGAGTACGCGGCGGATTGAAGCTGAGTTTGAAGCGTGCACCGGCCCTCCAGAGACGATGGTGAGGCTACTTAGGTGGGCGGCGATACTCGTCGTCGTCAGGTACTGCAAGAGGCGCAGTCACTACGGGGAACAAGAAATGAGTGGGTGCTCTCACGCTGCGAGGGATCCCAGCTACTGCACACCACTTGGCGATTGCTTCCTGGACCTCTGTGGCCCTCTTCTCGGGTCACACTTTGGGGCGGCGACGCTCCTGGCACGCCTCGGAACAAACGAGATGCGGGCAAAGGAACGCGCCAGATCCGCTTCCCCTTTGTTCTTCCGTAATGACTCCAAACGCTGACCCGGAATGTGCAGTGTCTACCAAGATACAAATATGCCCGACCAGGTGGAGCTTCAGCCTGCCAAACGTCTAGCTGCAGGTCCACCACAATTCGCGTCTGTCACCCGCAGCCCCCCCAACTTCCGCGTTGCTTTCATACCCTTGCAGCCAATCACGAGCCCTACTATGAGACGATGCTAATGCCTACATTGACCATGCCATCATTTCCACATGCAAACCTAAACCCAACACTCTCCTCCTGTCTGTCATAGATAGCGTTGTTCAAATCTTCTTCCCATGGTTAATGCTTGACGCGGCCCGAATGAAACATTTCTCACCCCAGGGTCTAGCAACTATCCCGTACAATTTCACAACGCGCTTCACATGCTCAACGCAAACTCCATGAACCAATGCATTGACGACTACACGAACGCCTGCATCCTCTGAGTGGATATCACTAGCGCCAACCTCCACTGAAGAACTACGCCCTATCCAATCAAACCCTCTATGCCCTCTTCCGTCATCTCATTGGCTCAGTCAAGCCGCCCCAGCTGGCATTCACAAAGGAACACACCCAGCCATGGCCCAAACAATGGACAATCGAAAACGCGGCAGCCAACACCTCACGATCAGTGCTATGGCCACATTGTTGCTCAATCTTTGCAGGTCCGTGGGACATACTGCCGTGATGCCGGTCTTGCCGACCCCACGTGCAGTCGGACATACCCGAGCCGAATGCTCTGAGACACAGGGACCACCACCATCGAGCAGCCAGCTCGAATCCTACATGGCCATCTAGGCCAACTCCACTCTACCCCATTTTGTTTTCCAGTCCACTTTTTCATCCATGTCCATGACGTACCAAAAGCTCGAAAGAACCCATTTTGGCTAGTGATGAGCAACATCTGAGACATTGCATGTATGAGAAGAAAACTAGAAGATTCCGCGCATCCAACGCATCAAGCGGGTGCCCCACGTTCCGTCTACTGTCATCGAGAGAAGCAGCGTTAAACACCGGGGGGTCGTGGCTCGAGACATGAGTGACGTGCCAGGTGACGCAGGGTATCGTAGAGGATTAGTGCAATTGAAAATTCGAAATCGTAATAAGATACTGGAGAAGATGAAAGGAAGGTGCTGCTTGCTCGGAGGTCGACTCATATTTGGCCCTTGATGTCTACTTTGCTGAATGCGGCAGCACGGAGGCTTTCGAACTGTGATGCGGCTTCTCTGATCCTGACGCGGTACTGACGATCGCCTTTGTCTTCAATGACGTTTTGCGCACCGTGCGTTTCGAGGAATTCACGGCATATCTCATCATTGTCGAAACCAAGTTCGTCAGTGAGGAAACGGAGTGTGACATTTACGTATCTGCAGCTTGTTAGTGTATGACCGGCGTAGAGTCAAGTACGTATACATACCCTCTGGACATATTAGCTAGAGCGTTGAGGCGCTCACGCTCGACGAACATGTCCATGAGATAAGCGCCCATGTTTTGTGCTTCGAGATACAGTCTGAAGAACTTATGGTAATTGCCAAGAGCCAGCGAAGATCGAACATCAAGAGCATGCTTGATCCATTCGTGAGATTTGTCTGCGAGGGTTAATTCTGCCAACATGTCGTTCATGTCGGTCTTGTTGCACGTATATACGAAGTAGAGAATGCGATATGCCTTGAACTCGGCCGGATTGCCTCCCAAATTCAGCGCATAAAGTGCCTTCAACTGCGTCTGGCACTGGTTATACTCACCCAAATCTCCCTTCTCTAGTGATATCCGGGCGTGAATCTCGTACACCTTGACAGTGAAGGCGTTCTTGATGTGTTGGACAGTGAGGTCCTGACGGAGCGATTTGAATTGGTTACAGATGTAGTTGTAGTTCTTGTCCGCTTTCCACTTTTCCACTAGCATGGCCAAGGTCTTCTTGAGCACGTGGAGCGGTCGAACGGTTTCAGCCTTGGGCGGAGCGGTAAGGCGGAAGTAGCTCTTCTCGAGATTCTCGTTCGTTCCAACAACAGGTCCAGTAGGCATGTCGTCTTCGTCCTTCCGTGGCGAGCCCCAAGGGGGAGTCGTCTTGGTACCGTTGTGGCCGAGTTGAAAGCGCTGTCGTCGCTTGTCAAGCTCAGCCTGGTCAAACTTACTTGCGGCATCCGCGAGGACGTTCTTCTTCTGGCGCTTCTCATTGTGTCCGTCGCTAAAAGTCATGCGAGATGCTAGGTTAGTTTTGCGCCATGGCGGGACATTGGCTTGTGTTTGTTCGACTTGCGACTCCTCAGCTTCATGAGCATTGCGCTTCTTTGATTGGGGTGGAGATTGGTTAGTGTGTGTGACTGAGCCATTCATGTATGCAGGGTGCATGCCGTTGGCAACGGCAGTGGTAGGCATTCCCATGGCCGCCGCCCGTCGCTCCTCAAGAAGAAGCTCCTGAGGAAGAGGAAATGTGGGCCAATGAACTGTGTCGTGCGAGTTGCGCTCAGCAAACCAGCCGATGGTTGTCTTCAATCGTGCCTGCATGTCTGCTTGGGAGATGCCTGGGATGGCGTTCTGCGGATCGAAAGCTCGCCTCACGTACTCGCGAACGGCTGGAGGCCACTCGACCTTCTTCTTGGGTGCTTCGGGAGCCATAGCTGACTGCTGCCGTGTGTGAGCGTGGGCTGGTTCTCTTGTATGAGTGTGAAGACTAACAGGCGCGGGCGCGACTTGGAGGGTGGTGCGTGGATTGACTGTGTTATAGGCGGGTGACTGCATTGGCCGGGACCACGCTACAGTAGCCGAGGGCAAAGACATAAGCAGGCAAGCAAGGCAGAAAAAGCGAGAATGGAGTTGGCTGTTGGGTGAGTAGTTGCAAATGGACAAGAGAGATGTGCGAGAGATGGCGCGCGCGCGGGACAGGTCTATTGTGTCGCGGTGTGGAGGTGAGGGTGAAGCGACGGCCCGCTCAACTGATTTGCATCGCGCCTTCCTTGGCGATGACTAGCGCTGTGCTAACCGTAAGCATGCTAGCTTCTGGCCAATGACGATGGCTGGGCTCGGTGAATGCATGCGGAATCGGGCATCGTCGACTCGATCCAATGCGATGGCTGCACCTCGCATATCTTTACTTGCAGATGGTCTGAATGTTCTTGCATCAGCTCGACCTCACTACCGCACTGCGCCCGTCGCTCCTGCCGGAGGAGACGCTCCTTTTCGTCCAAGACGCCGTCGGGCTTTATGAGGGGTACGCGCATGTTCGCGACAGTTGCTATCCGCTGCTAATCAACCGCATAGGAAGTTCAAGATTCCCCAGTACCAGAATGGCCAGTCATACTTGACTTCACATCGTGTCTGCTACGTTGACCATAGCGAGCCACGCAAGAACTCCGTCGCCATCTTCCTCAAGGATGTCGAGAAACCAGAGTTCTATGTATGCACCGGCACATGTGCAAAGGACAAGCACACAACGCTGACTGCACATAGGCTGGCTTCCTCAAGTCGTCACCCAAGATCACACTTTATCCCAAGCCCCTGAAGCAGCTGTCGCGTGGCTCGCCTATACCCCCGAATCCACGAGTCGCATCATCGTCATCAACTCCCCCACGACATAGCAGTCCCGCACCGCCACCTCCGGCAAGCGCAACGTGGGTGTGTCCCATATGTTCCTTCTCGAACCCGGTTCCATCCAATTTCGATCCCGCGCTTGCCTCCCGCACGCCCATACCGCCATGTCTAGCATGCGGAATCAAGCCGCCTACAGTACATGTAGTCAAAGCAGCCATAGCAGCAATCTCAAACAGACCAGCGCCGGGCCCGCCACCCAAAGACACGAAGAGTAGCGCTCCTGCCCCTACAAACAATGGAGGGACGTCGTCATGCCCAAGGTGTACCTATCAGAACCATCCTTCTCTGCTCAACTGCGAGATATGTGGTGCATCTTTAACAACGGCCGTGGATAAGAGATTGGATACTCTCCAAGATCTCGATAGATCGCAGTCCCCTGGACCAGTCCTCTCATCACCTTTGCAGTCTGAATCTGTCGAATGCATCAAGATATCGTTCCGCGCAGGTGGAGGACCGATATTCTACGAGCGGTTGAAGAATGCTTTAGTTCAGCGTAAATGGTTGCTCCAAAGCGCTCCGCCAATTCCCAAGCCACGGCCGTCTTCAGGTACCTTTGACGACAGCTATACGGCTATGTCTGACGGTTCATCGGCAGAGGTCGACCGACCTCGTGTAGTTGGCATTGCGGGGCTGGAGCGACGAGGCTTGGAGCAAAGACAGAACAACGAGGCCATGATAGGCAGTGCATTCGAAGACCTTGACGCGCTGATGACTTCCGCGAAGGAGATCATAGCTCTGGCGGAACAATTCGCATCGCAGGCCAATCTAGGTACCAACGGTAGCTCGGAAGCCAACACGCTGGCATCCCAATCCGCTTCCGCGCTTGGTCTGGTAACGACCAAGGACATGCTCGGTACAGGTTCTGGGTCTGAGTCGCTGTACGTATCAGAACTATCAAGGAACTTGGCTGAATGGCTTACGGACGACACCCGCGGCATACTCAAAAGAGAGGGCGGTATTATGACCTTGGTAGATTTGTGGGCTGTCTTCAACCGTGCAAGAGGTGGCGTTGAGCTCGTTAGCCCGGCCGACTTTGAGAAGGCAGCCCGAATGTGGGATACATTGAAGCTTCCCGTGCGTCTCCGCAAGTTCAAGAGCGGGCTCCTCGTTGTTCAAGGACGCGATCGCACTGATGAAAAGACTATCGCAAGTCTATTAGCCTGGCTAAAGACACTGCATCAAACGCCACCAAATATGGACGTCACTTGGGATTGGCAAGCATTTGGCAGGGGTGTCACAGCTCAAGAGACGGCAGAAAGATTCGGTTGGAGCGTCGGTGTTGCGACGGAAGAGCTGGAGATGGCTGAAGAAGCGGGCGCACTTTGTCGCGAGCAAGGTATTGATGGGTTCAGATTCTGGGAGAACTGGCTGGTCAAGATGCCCGAAGTTATTGCCAACGTGTAGTCAAACAGAATGGAACACGCTCTCATTCGCTCACAAAAGGAGCATGTGCAAGGCTTTTGCTGGCACTTCTATGGTAGTAAATGACAACCTTCCACCTCATCTTCAAAGCACCGCTGGCAAATCATCTCCATGATCTATCTTGTATTCTCCTGCAAAAGTGCCACGAACATTTCGACCAGGAGGTCTCTTGAACAGTAGGTCCGGGTCGCATGTTGTTGCAGTGGTGTATATGAGCTTCACTGCATATCCGACTGAGCAAACGCGCGTGGACCCATAGAGTGAACCCAATGCGATCAGGCACCAGCCGCAGGGGCTTCCTTAAGCCAATCGCGCATTTACCGCTCCTTCCATTAGGGTCCAGGGTCCATCTGTATTGTGCCCTCGTATCCCACAACATCGGGCCTCACTTGCACAAGACCTCTCCTGCATCTACTGATCTTCCATCAAATTCAACTGGCGAGTATGGCCTTCACATCGACTATGTAAGTGTTCTTGAGTCTCGCGACGTGCTATACTTTTGTTACAGTAACTGACGTGTCGGGTGCAGGACGTGCGCAGGTGACACCAAGACTATGCAAGCTGTAAACAGCAAAGGCACAGGCAAGAGCGCAGGCACGAAGCGAGCCATAGACGGAAGCGGTTCAGAGTCTCCGAGCAAATATCAGAAGACAAAGGCGACCACCGTTGAAGATGCAGTCATGCCAGAAGAGGTCAAAGAGCCTGTGGAAACACGGGCAGGAGATCCAGACCAGGTTTTCAGATTTATGGATCTACCAGGGGGTTGGTCACTGCCACACATTTCTGAGCTAGGATGTACTGACTGTAGCCAGAACTTCGAAATCGCGTATATGGGATGGCAGTAGAGTGGAGCTATCGGTGCTTCCCAATGACATACCAAAAGCCAAAGAAATCTAGACACCGGAAGCAAAATTCAGATGACGAGGACCGCCGAACAGCCGTCAAGCCGCTTCCTTATATAGGGTTGACTCAGGTTTGTTCGCTCATTCGAACCGAATTTCGACCTCTGTGGCTATCAACACATCGCTTCCCGCTTTTCGTATTGGAGAGCTACTTCAAGGCCTTCTTCCCAGTACTCCGCCGGTCCTCGCAGATGGATGGAAAGAGCCGGAAACGTATCGAAAGCTACCATGACCCTGCTGGTACCCTCCGTCTTTGGGTCAACCAAGATTACATAAGAGATATCGATGTTTTCCCCCTCCTGAGGTTTCATCTCCGATTTCCTGCCTATACCATGGATATCATGTGCGCTCAGCTTGAGACCAAAGCCCCTCTCACGAAGTTCTTTACAGCCCTGATCAACAACGCCAGTTTAACATGGGTTAAATACATCAAGCAGCAGAGCATTACACAGGTTGTGTTGAATGCCGACTTCTATGCAGGTCAACCTCTGAGAGCGGCACTGCATGTGGTGATCAAGCAGAGGCAGATGTCGGATTGGGTTGAGCCAGGCGGGCATTTCATGGCTCCCCTTTGCACGGATCTTAGGAGAAGTCTTGGTATTGAAGATCTGAACTGCCACGTCGACTTTGGTATAGATTATTGGTAATTGGCAAGGCAGGTACCATAGGCTATGACAAACTCGTCGAGGTGTCGAGAATATTGCGCAGGTCTAGATGGGCATCACTGGCCACAGACCTTTGAGTCCTCTACAGCATAATCGGATCTTGTCATTATCGTAGACCATAATGCATGACATTTGGTGTTCTACATATGAATCATTATGCGGCTATTTTACACACTATGCTACCGCATCACATTGATTAGGACTGAGACTGCAGCTTCACTACCACTGTAGATGGATGATCTAGGCTTGTCAGTACATGCTCAAGGTCGAAGCGGAGGATACTGACCCCCAAGAAGATCTGCGAAGACCCCATCATCTTCTGCCATCAATGCAGCATCTGTGTATATTTAGCATGAGCACGACATCGCCACTACAGTTCACTTACTGGCAAACTTCAACTGGTACGACTCGCCATCCTGGCTTGCAGTAACTTTTTGCACAGGCATATCAGTGTCTGCCTTGAACCACCACACTTGCTTTGGCAGGAAGCTGCGATCCTCTACCAGCGACCGCCCGAGAATGTGACCGTTACATTGAAGACGACTGTCTTTGAGCTCAAAAACAGCTGCTTCTTTTCCCGTTTTGGCATGCGTACGGTCTTCGGCGTTGGCGTCGACCTTGGCGATCGGACTGCCATTGATTTCGATGGTGAAAGGTGCTGGTAGGCTGTCCATGTCTTGTGACGAGTAGATGCGGACTGATATCAGGATCAAAAGAAATAGTCCAAATACCCACAAGAGGTTGCGACGGCCCTTGGAATCAGCTGGCATTCGCTCTGGATAGTGGTAGGTACTACAGAGGGCTGAGATGCTGTCAGGAGTATTAGTAGCAGGATGATGCGCCACGGACGCTGTGCATCTATGCAAGGCAGCAGTCAAAGTACCCTGTGTTGGCGGCAAATCCTGTATGAGGCTGAAGGTACTGCGCTAGTGTGTCTTGCATGCGTTACCTAGATCTACTGGTCGGCGCATGAACAACACGTTGACGAGAGATGTTTACGTGTGGCAATGGCGTTATCGAGGTGGTACCGAGGTTGGCTGTGGGCGAGCGCTGAACGCAATTCCTCATCTCAGCCACTCCGCATGCCGTATACCACCAGCAAGAACACCTGCGATCTCCATACCAGAGCTACTATGCATGAGTTCCAGCGCCGTTGCGAAGATCGATACTAACTCCGGCACTCAGCCGGCTCACGCGCGCACCGCCAAGATCTTAAAGCTCCGGTCTTTCGATAGCTCCCCCATCGTCCTAACGTCTCCTGCCTTTTCTGGCTCAGAGCCGGTGACGACCAACGAACACGACAATGCGACAGTCCTTAGGCTCGCCATCTCCGAGGTCGCAATCATACGTGCCGGGGCCAAGTGCGCGAGTGTTTCGCTAGCAGCCCACGCGGACCTATCCGTTGTGGCAGGTCAATTCTCCTTCCTTTTGCCCTTCGACGTACTAGGCACAACTAAGCCAACAAGAACACACCATTCGTCCATCCAAGAATCGCATCCCATGCTGATCATGTAGGGTGATATACATACCCTGCATCGTGGTTCGCCTACATTGACATGTTACAAGAACCCGGTCGGCGCTTCTGTCGGTTTGCGCACAATATGTGGCAAAATCACTTGCCTCTTCAGGAGAGAAGACGTGACTGCGCCAGACACTGGGACAAGTCGTAGCGATTCAACGGCGCCAGCGAGATCCAGGACTATGGCAAACAAAGTGCGATGCCACTTCGGCTTTACTATGGCAAGGATGTAGAACCGTTACAACCTCCTGCTATCTAGGGAACAGCGTCGCTGGTCCTGCTACTCACGACATACGCACAGCCATGTACACTTTAGACGAATACGTCATAATGGCATGAGACCACAAAGGAGCTATTCTTGTTTGCAACATGTTTCAAGGTGTGGCTGTGACCACAGCCCTGTGAGACTTTGAGATAAGGGGCGAAAAAGCAACGATCTGGAGAAACCGATCCGCAGAATGCAGCTGTGAGGCAAAGCCGGCCTTGATCCTGGTATACGGGAGCAACCGCTGGATCAGCTTCTCCTCTCGCATTCGCTGCCAGGCAATTAGCTTGAAAGCTTATACTACAGGCAGATAACGTACCTACATGGGCAGGATCGCCGAGCCTCCACTGGCGCGCCTAAGGTACACTGGCGGACTTCATGTTAAGAGTTTGCCAAGTCGTAGCGGACACCCAATCCGGAAGGACAAACTACACACTTAGTCGATCACGCTTGGCATCTCCGGACAACACAATCGCAAGGTTGCAGTGTAAGGATGCTCAGATGCTCAGGGGACCATAGCCTGCGTATAAGTATAGAGTTGTTTCCCTTCCTTTTCATCATCAGCCAGCTCAGTCAGTCGCTTGTCTCTTCACTTCAATCACTTTCCAATCCTACTCCGCGTAGCCTCATTCACTCGAAACAATCATCATGCGTTTCCAATCCATCATCGCAATCGCGCTTCCTGCGCTCGTCCTTGCGGCTCCCACTCCTCAAGACCCCGACTACGAGTTCCCTGAGGATGCTCCCGCCGACGACATTGTTGGTGGAACCACTGCCTCTGCGGGCGAGTTCCCCTTCATCGTCAGCCTTCAACGCAGCGGATCCCACTTCTGCGGTGGCTCTCTGTTGGACTCTACTACCGTCATCACTGCTGCTCACTGCTCCGTCAGCTCCGTCATTGGCTCAGTCAGCGGTCTCCGTGTCCGCGCCGGCAGCCTGAACAAGAGCTCCGGTGGAACACTCGTTGGCGTATCTTCCGTTACTGTCCACCCAAGCTACCGCAGCTCGGGCCAGGACTTCGATGTCGCCATTTGGAAGCTCTCCACTGCCGTCCCTACTAGCAGCACCATCGGTTACGCAACTCTCCCTGCTTCCGGATTCGACCCCGCTGCTGGATCTACTGCAACTGTCGCCGGATGGGGTGCCCTTACTGAGGGCGGCAGCAGTCCCAGCACTCTCTACAAGGTGTCCGTCCCGATCGTTTCCCGCACCGAGTGCCGCTCATCCTACGGAACCTCTGCTATCACCAACAACATGTTCTGCGCTGGATACACCACTGGTGGTCGCGACTCTTGCCAGGGTGACTCTGGCGGCCCCATTGTCAACTCCGCCAAGACTCTTATTGGTCTCGTTTCTTGGGGTAACGGCTGTGCTCAGCCCAACTTCCCTGGTGTATACGCTCGCACCGCCGCCCTTCTCTCCTTCATCAACTCTGTTTAAGCGCTCGATGAAGGGATTTTCTTATGAAAGATCACTATGACTCTCTGGGAGAGTACGATGATTGCGAATGATGACACTAGCAATGCGCTACATGGCTTGGATCATGGATCATGGTTTCTTAGACCCATGCTAAGGATACCTTTTTTTGTAAATATCTATTGGTACAAATATGAACCCCACATTTCAAAAATGACGCTTTGAACACTATGACATCGAGTGCCAGCATTCTCATATATTGGTATACGTGGCAGACTATTGAGATGCGTATATTTGGCCTGTTGGGATGAATTATTTTTTGGAGTCCGGCGCGACGGCCTGTCCGAGGCCTATGCGATCGGACGACGCGCAACTCCAACATCCTATGACGTGTTATAACGGCTCTCGACCAGCGACCGGATCCCCTCAAGCCTTTTTGTTAAACAAGCTTTTCGGAAGAACCGAGAAGAAGCGACCGTTATATGGGTTGATGCTTGTGACTGACAGAATAAGGTAAAGTTTCTTCTTTTGCAGTTCTTTTTTTTTCGATTCATCTTTGAACCTATTTTGATACATGTCTCGAACAAAGAGAAGAACAACCCGTGAAGGGGAAGAGTCCGTGTAAAGCTATCCAATGCTGGGATCAAACAGCTGCACGGATGGCCCTCTATCAGAGCGTTAAATACTAAAGCATGATTCTATGGGGACTGATTGTGCAGTTCTCGAACTTGCAGCAGATGTGCAGAGGTAAAACGTTTTCGTTTCAGAAAGCATACCAGATCTGTAATGCAAAGAATATCCTACCGTGAAAAACGGAAAGCGTTCCATTGATGCTTTCTGCCCTACGGCTATATTTGGGTCCAGAGATTGGTTTCTCCCAGCTTGACACGATCTCTACACTCTAGACACGATTTCAATAGTTCTGCCTCATACAGTTGGCATGTCGTTCCATTATTCTTAGTATAAGAAGAGGGAAAGCAGTTGCTTCATGCTAAAGAGCAAGTGGAATAGAAGAGAATGCGCTAGCCATCCAAGATACATGTTCCTACCAAATAGTGAAGCATGGCGAAATTAACGTGTAGTCGTTAGGAAAAACGATGGCGATTTTCTCTAATGCTCTTCCCAATTCTCTCGTGTAGGAGCATAATCTGCAGCCTTTCAAGAATTCCAAACAAGTACAGCAATTAGTTGGTCCTTCATGACTCATCATTACAAGGGGTTTTGAAAGTATCCCATCTGTCGTCTCAAAGTAAAGTATACAAAGTTAGGCCAACGGTACGCAACATGTTATCATCGATGCGCCAACCACGCGGCTTAGTCTCATGAAAGTACCCATCGCTTGGTCGCCGATCTCTTGAACAGAAGGTGTAACGGTCATGTGACGTTTGTGAGGAGTACACAAGAAGCCAAGTGTTGAGCTAAGTGATCAAAAAGGTTCTGCAATGGAAAAGCGCCATCATGGTGGCATATATTGGGGTATTGTATATAATAAAATGTACACGAATTAATCGAACTCACAGCTCAGTGCCGCACAAGCTCTTCCGTATCCTGGCTCTCGTCTATCGCACAGAGATGACCATTAGTATCGTCCGCTTTCTCTTCGTCCCACACCAAGACTACCGTACTGAGTACTCCTTCCTAGGCTACCCGCCTGACCCAAAGTCTTTTCTCCCCTCTCCCTCTCGGCGTTCAAGTTTCCAAGACTGATACGCTTCAGAGGGCTGACATCCCGCTTGCTTGGACTAGCCCTGCGCTCAAAGGCGCCACCTAGACTGTCCCTCCCACGGCTCGCACTCCTCTCACCATCCTTTATAAAGTTTGCACTTGCCGACTTTCGTAGAGGAGACGCGGCATGAGTGTTTATCCCCAGGTAACCGCCGTCAGTGGGCTTGCTGTTGGTCCTGGGGATAGTGGGTGCTTGACGGAAGGGGTTGGGTGTTTGCGAGGGTCGAATAGGGGAGGAGAAGTCAGGACCTGTTGCTGTGGATGTGCTTGCATACTGTGAGCTGCTGTGGTCTTGATGGAGGGAGGGTCTACGTCTCAGGGAGCGCGTGACAGACGGAGAAGCCATATCGTCAGGATCGTATTGTGAGGCGTAGCTTGCGTTCGGGTTCGTACGGAAAGTGCGGCGGTTAACAATGGTGGTTGGCGTATATGTGACGACTGAGCTCGCGAGATCACTGCTGCTGCCCTTGACGCCGACACTCGAGTCACGGGTTCGGTTCTTTGAAATGGTCTGGATACCAACGTCGCGGCACGGCTTCTGCAATGCGGGATGAACGAACTTGCTATCGTACTCGTGAAGCACTTGACGACTGATCAGAGAGTTGTCCTTAGCCTGCTGCATGAAGGAGCTCCTAAGCCACCAAAGATGAAGCGACAGCGCTGCTCCGATGAAGATAGTCGTGGTCACCCTGACACTCGGTCTCGGATCCAACGGAACGACTGGGAGGTTAAAGTAGTAGAGTACCACGTGCAATGGGCTGAACAAGCAGAACAACTCCAGACACAGCGGATTTGGATCCCAAACCGCCACCTCCCAAACGTCTCTGCCCTCGACAGGATGCGCCCGACTCGCCGCGTTGTTCTGCACCAAGTTCCTCACAAACTGCATCGGGCTCGCTGCTGCAGGCGATGAGTCGACCCTAACGCGCTTCGCACTGGGTGTTTGTGGCGCGACATCGACGCTCTGCTCGAAGAGACGGTAATACCTCTTCTTGCCCCAGACCAGCCACGCATTGCCAAAGCTAGCCACACCCAGCGCCAGCACCAGCAGGCCCATGATCCACTTTATCCATCCTGGGCCCTGCACCTCGTTGAAGACGCCATCGTCGTCCGAGGCCGTGGATGCGCCGCTGTTGGCTTGGGCGAGAACGAAGAGTAGGTTTGCGCCAAAGCCAATGTACAGCGCATAAGCAGATGCAAATTCTTCCCAGTCGGAGCTGTTGAGCTCTTCGGATATCCAGATGAGCCAGTCGGACAGGTCAAAGTAGGCTTTTATGCGTTCCGAGAGCGGTGCGCGGCGCACGACAGGAGGCATGGTTCGGCTGTATCACGATTATAGTCCCTGGGTTAGAGTTCTGGGTTGTGTAGGAGAGGCAAAGAAAAAGAGCGGGGTAGTGGTGAGAATCAGGTCGGCATGGCGGTGTTGAGACAGGACACGACGATGAGGAAAGAGCGCGTGGTGAAAGAAAGGACAGTACAAACAGTTGGCCCAACGCGGACTAGGCCGTGGTCCCGCCCATGACGACGGCGCGCGGGAGCTCCAGCTTCAGCAGCCAAGCTCCGACCTCACGACAGCTGCCTCACTAGCTATATCGCAATGGCAGCACCAGCGGCACAGTACAAGGACAGGCAGTTCCTGGCCGTCATAGGCGATGAGGTGTGCTTGTCGACAGATCCTCACCTGGCGGGTCAAGGGCGCTAACCGGTCGCAGGACACTTGCACGGGCATGCTGCTTGCCGGCGTAGGCGTAAGCTATTGCGAGCTGCAACGCGCGATGCGAACAGGAGATTGACGCAGATCACAGCATGTTACCCAGCCGCCAGACAGCCAGAAGAACTTTCTCGTTGTGGACGCAAAGACCGAGACCTCGGCCATCGAAGCAGCATTCGACCGCTTCACCACCGAGCGCAAGGATATCGCGATTCTACTCATCAATCAACATGTACGTGTTACCTGGCCCGTACATGACGCTCCCAGCTGGACGAGTGACGCTGGAGTCGTTCTTGAACACGGTGCGAAGGACACGACTGACCGCTGCTAGATCGCCGAGAGGATACGACACCGGGTTGAGACATACACGGCTGCTTTCCCTTCCCTTCTCGAAATTCCGTCCAAAGACCACCCCTACGACCCTGAGAAGGACAGCGTGCTGAAGAGGGTGAGGAGGCTATTCGGAGAGTAGACGTTGAACGCGGAAACTGGCAGCGCATGGAGAGGGTCGCATGTGTCGGATACACTACGCATGGCTCTAGCACGTGGCGTCCACCACGGGCAGCTTTGTGTACATACAACATTCAACGTGCGCAGATATGATATCCATTACAAAACAGGGTCAAAGAGTCAATCGTGCCACAGAATATATGCATGTCCGTCGTATCTACATTAAGCCATGGTCCATCCCTACGTCCAAATCCACACGCAAAACAGTAAAGCCAACCTCGCACTGGTATCGTGATTCAAGACATGAAAACAATTCGCCAACATTTGGTTACAGCTCGTTCCTTCGCCTCAATCGCTCTTGCACAAGCCCGGCGAGGGGCCCAGACATTTGCACTCTCGGCTGTCCAAACTTGACTTTACTACCACTGCCCGCATTACTGTCCTCCGTATCTCCCCTACATGTGTGAACATCAGATCCCATCGCTGCTCGTCGTGTGTTGTGGCGGCGAAACGAAGGTGAGGCAATTTACCGGTGGAAAGCGATCTTGGCGGTCAGGCAAGTAATCTTGTCGCCGTCCTTGGTAAGGACGTCTGCGAGAACAGTGTACTGGCCCTACTGGTTGTTAGTATTAATTCGCATCTTGTCAGGCTCTTCGAACGCACCGGAGGGATCTCCCTGGGCAGGTCAACATCCTTGGTCAAGCTCATCTCGCCCTTCTTAAGCGGGCACTCGAGATCGCCCTTCTTTATCGTTTCGCAGCCGTCTGCATTCTGGTTGATGAGTGTGATGATGCCGTACTTGACTTGCAAGTGCATTGTGAAGCCCTCACCGACTTCCTCCTTGAAGTCGCCTGTGGCCTTGATGCTGAGCGTCTCGCCGCTGTACCCAGGTTAGTTTCTCGCTTCACACTTCTCAAGACTTGCGAAACTACCACACGTGTAGATGCGCAACTCTCACAAGACTCCAACAGGGATCACGTACGGCTTGGGTGGGTTGGGGCTCAGGTCAACCTTCTCAATCTTAAGAAGATCGTTGGCTGGGTCACCGCAGAAATACAAGGGGTTGTCGCCTGGGACCTTGTACTCTTCCTGGATCGTGACCTGGTCGCCACCCATCCATGAGGGCGATGCAGAGACAGAGACGGCGCTTAGCGCGGCGAGCAAGAGGGTGGTGAGCTGCATGGCGGCGGTGAAGACAGCTGCGGTACTAGAGACGAGCTGTAGTGTTATAGTCGCGCGATAAACACGACGGGAAGAACTTCGATGTGAATTCGAAGTTGGGGTAGGATGGTCGGGGTTGTTGTGGAGAGTGGAGAGCTCTGGTAGTGGTTGAGGCTGGCGTCCAGATAGCGGCCGCGGTCCATGTCCATGAGGCTGGGGCGAAGCATGGACCCTGCAGCCAACGTCATCGCTGTTGGTCACGCACCTGCGTTAGTCTTGTCCTAGAGCCATCTGGGGTTGACATCCACACATCTTGTGCATAAAAAGAACTGCTGCCAGGAAGAAACAGCTCATCTCAATTCGTATGCACGTGTACGACAATCTCTGGCCGAGCTAGGTAGCGCCTATGTGCCCAGAGATCCTCTCCATGGCGGCACCACGTACAAGGGAAAAACCAAGTAGGTATAGAGACAACAAGCCCTACCTTGCAGCTTACATTAGCTCCTATCAAAAAACTTGTAAAAGAAGTACTCCCTAAGTATACTCTAAAAAAGTGTTTAGTTTCTCTCTTTGATGTAGTGGCGGCCAGATCAAGATGATCCAACTCGGCGGCAGCAACTGCGTAGCGACTCCCCGAAACCATAGTAAATGCACGCCATTCCGATCGGATTGTCCTTGAAGTTGCTCGCCATCAGCAGTCCGCCTGACGGGGCATGTTTGCAAAGTTCATGGCATAAGAAACTTATTCGGCCGTCCCATGCGTCTGGAACATGGGCAGTAAGAGAATGTCTGTCCTAAAGAAGTGCAATCGTTGGAAGCTTTCAGCAGTCAAACGAGCATGAGGTGTAGTAGCTGTCACGCCTGGTTATCATATCAATCATGACCTTACCTGTCGGGATTATGAGAGCATCCTCAGCCGAATTAACATAGTTACCCGTTTGTCCTTCCGGGCATGCAGTTTTAGGGTTTACAGCGTGGTTCGCATCCACATCGATCTTCTGAGTACCAGTTTACCGCATTTCCAATTCCGGTGGAAAGATTGTAACGGAATACCCTGCTACTAGACTCGTTATCAACAAGGTTTGCACGAACTTGAAAGCTTGTAAACCAAATTCAGGTGTCGTTCATGCAGCGATATACATGCCCTGCAATTCCAGGGGGGAACATGGTGCTTCCCCTATGTCTTCCCTCAATTCGAAGGTTGTTCAGAAGGCAGTTCAAAAGCGCTCACGAAATGACGAAAACCATGATCAAGAGGAGCTCAAACAGTTGTACGACCGACATGGCATGATCAAGTGCCCCATATGGCACCGTGACATGCCAAGAAACAACGTAGCTCTAGGTACGCTTGTACACCGGATGTTGCCACTGCAACGTTTTGGAACGATCAGCAGAGCCTCCAAGTCCTCGGACTTCGAGCCGTTCGAGAACCTGCATCCGTACGTTATTTAAAAGTATGTAAGTATCTACTAGTCTATAAAGTCGTGCAAAAGGTGCTAATGTGCGTTTTCAGCATATACCTTCAAAGAAATTTAGATTTTCCAAGGACACCTGCATGCTACCATGCGCAGAAAGACTCATCGTAAGATCTCTTCATGTCTCTCTTCATCAAAACTTTAACTACGCAATAACCATTTCTAAGCATACTGTTGCAAGTATGGAATCATGGTAGACGGTCAAACCCGGAACCTTGTTAGTCAGACCAAACCGATCACGCTTTAGCGCCGGGTGGACTTAAGACTGTCAGCTGGCTGCAGTAGGCCAAGACGTCACTTCATCAAGGGGAAAATATGCAACAAGCAACAGCAGGCATCTCCTCTGCAAAAACATGACGCCGCACGGTAATTGCATCTGTCTTGTTGTTTCCTACTTTCGATGTGGTCTGATTGATCAGATACCTTGGTTACCACTCATTCTTGCTATTGACTTGGGTCTACGTAGCACTAGTACATCGTTCTCCTATCGTTACTCACTTTACATCCCTAGGCTGGTGGAATTGTCGCCTTGAAATGCCTACTATGATCATGTCATCCCCTTGCATGCCCAGTCTTGGCGAGAGTGATGTAGAGGAATAAGTCTGCCGTACCCTGGCTCAACATCAACATCTCTTTGATGGGGCTGACGCAAGCTATGGCAGTGCAAGTTCGCAAGAGCCAGCTTCTTGAACTATAAGAACGCTGTATCGCTGCCAAAGAGATCATCACATACCCAAGCTTCCACATCCACCACAACGAATCCAGACTACTATCTGCAGAAGAAGCGCCTCGAAAATGACGGTCACGTTCGTATCGCTAGCTCTCGTGGCTGCTCTTCAGATGCTGCCAGCGGCGGCACAGAACTTGTCCTATGGAGCCAACAACTTCTACCGCAGCGACAACGTCACGGTGCATCCGATCACCTTTCCCAGTCAATACCAGATGACCGTGGCGGGCAACCTTTTCCTACCCGACAATCTCGATCGAAGCATCAACGCGTCCGCTATAGTCGTCGGTCATCCAATGGGAGCCGTGAAGGAACAGAGTGCAAACCTGTACGCCACCAAGATGGCGGAGCAAGGGTTCGTCGCTATGTCGATTGATGTTTCCTTCTGGGGAGGCAGCGACGGCGAGCCAAGAAACGCCGTATTGCCAGACGTCTACGCCGAGAGCTTCAGTGCTGCAGTCGATTACCTAGGTCTACAAGACTACATTGACCGCGAGCGTATCGGAGCTATCGGTATCTGTGGCAGTGGCTCCTTTGTCCTCAGCGCAGCAAAGATCGATCCGCGCATCAAGGCTATCGCGACAGCCAGTATGTATGACATGGGGGCTGTAAGCCGCAACGGATTACAGAGATCGCAGAGCGTCGAGCAACGCAAGCAGGTCATTGCAACGGCGGCGGCGCAACGTTGGGTAGAGGCCAGCGGTGGAGAAACGGAGGTATGTTGTGACTACATCAAATGCATGTGAGACGTACACTAACTTCGTGCCTCCATTTCCAAAGTATACGGGTGGAACTCCTCATGTTCTCACCAATGAGACCGATCCAGTTTCACGCGAGTTCTACGACTTCTACCGCACATCCCGAGGCGAGTTCACACCTGCAGGTTCTGCACCAAACCTCACCACCCACCCTACGCTCTCCAGCCAGACCAAGTTTATGAACTTCTATCCCTTTAGCGACCTCGATACCATATCCCCACGTCCAGTCATGTTCATCTCTGGCGACATGGCACATTCGCGCGAGTTCAGCGAAGATGCGTATGAGGCTGCGGCAGAACCAAAGGAGCTAGTTTGGATTCCAGGCGCTGGCCATGTGGACTTGTACGACCGCGTTGACCTGATCCCCTTTGGCAGGCTCACAGAGTTCTTCCAGCAGAACTTGAGTGAGTAGAGGACGAGCTAGACCATCGCGTGTGTCAACAAGCGAGCTCACCATCGTATTCGAAGTGGTTTGGAAAGATGTTTCTGTGTTTTAGTAATACTTAACATCTGCAAGAACGAGAGGGTCAAACAGCAATTTGTAAGATATCCTTCGACTCCTATGTAAATATTTAACCGTCACACAAGACCTTACGCAATGTCAATAACAATCTTACCCTTGACTCGTCCTTCCACCATATAGCTTTTAGTCTTCTCCCAAGCTTCAACATGGTTTTCTTCGGTCAAAATCCCCTTGACAACATCTTGGACCACAACCTGCACATCGCTCTTCTCTGCCAACTCCCTCACCTGCTCGAGCAACTCGCTCTTCTGGTACAGAATAACATTCGCATATCGCGGCCCAAACAGATAACCCTGGATATGTCGTATGACTTGGGATGGGTATGTGAAATATGTCAACGGTCCTCCCATTGCGGTCCTTGAAGTTTTGTCTCCAACAATGGTTATGTACGCGCCAGAGGGATGAAGGAGTTGCTTCCAATGCTCGAACATTTCCGTGCCACCTACACAGTCAATGTACAGATCGTATTTGGTACCAGCGGGCCTCTTGGAAAGCAGGGAGTTTGGCACGTCTTGCGTACGATAGTCAATTACCTCATCTGCGCCCAATTTGCTCACAAAATCGGCATTGGGACCCGAGCAGATGCCGATGACATGGCAAGAGTAGAGCTTCTTTGCTAGCTGTACACACCACATTCCTACACCGCCGCTTGCTCCTGATACGATCACACGGCGTTGCGAGGGAGATGGAGAGCTGGATGGAGACGGGAGCCAATCGAGACAGGCGAATGCGGTCAAGACAACAAGAGGTATGGCGGCGGCTTCGTGATGAGACAAAGTGCTAGGTTTCTTTGCGATGGGTTCGGAGGTTGGATTGACACAAAGGTATTGTGTGAATGTTCCTTCCGCCATCTATCATGATTTCAATTTAGTATTGTCTTCCAAAAGGTAATTTGATGAGGTTTGGCTTACGGGTCGATTGCACAATCCAAAAACTTCGTCTCCAACCTCCCATTTTCCACTCTTTGCTTCTTCCCCCACGGCAACAATGTCACCCGAGTAGTCTCGCCCTATTCCTTTCTCTTTTTTACCTGCCAGCCAGCCGATCACGGGATTTCCCCATAGTTGGATGTCTACTGGATCTTTGTACGAAGTCAGTGTCTGGCTCACGTGCAGTTCGTACAAAGATACTTACTAATAGCCGCGGCTTTGATCTTGATCAGCACCTCCTGTGGACCTGGCGTAGGTATGGGTGTATGTGTTAAATGTGGTTGAGAAGAAGGTTGTGTATAGGTCAAAGATGTATTGGATTCGGGGAGTGAAGACGCCATATCGAGTTAATCGGTTATATTCTTGCGATGATGCGAGTTGCGTGATATCGTTACACCAAAATACTTCTACAGAGCAGTTATCTAAACAATGTCTAAGCGATTGTTCACTACCATCGGGTTGCTGTTTATGGTAAGATGCATGCTATGACGTTGCATTTCTAATGTGAGCCATGAAAAGCATGAGTGGGGCGCCGGAGTACACACCGAGGTTCTGTATAGCCTATACGAGTCAGGTAGCGGGAGCCGTGACCCGCGACGAATCGCATTTTCAACAATAAGAATCCAGAATAGGTAGGATGTTCGTCTGCTATTGCGTGATGAGTCTATTTAAGTCTGTACATGGCGTATTTCTACTTTCAGAGCTTGACTGTACTTCTAGCCCGGATCTTTTCTCCATACCTAATGAACAGAAATGGGATCGGGATGAGTAGGGTAGCAATGAAGCCTAACATACTGTTACCCCATCCGTATCCCATTTGTGCATACATGGTCTGACTACTCAGTGGAATGAATGCTGCTGCAAGACTGCGCAGCACTGTACTCGCTGCCATGGCACTCGCGGCGTGAATAGTGAACACGTCGACCAAGTACGTCGTCGCTGGCATGAACGTCATCAGCAGACCGAATCCGATGATGCCTGTTGCAACAATAGGCACCATGAAGTGAGTCTGATACTGTACACTCCAGCCGTAGATGAAGAGACCGCATGGAATGAAGAAGCCGCCGATGCACATCATATATAACCTGTGTTCGGGACGAAAGTCGCCGCGCGCCATGTGCTTGTGCACTACTTTGTTGCCGTAGTGGATGTAGGTGAATTGGCCAATAAGAGACCCAATGCCTAATCCAAGAAAAGATAGACCAGTGATACCACCATGCCAGCCGTACTGACCCTTGAAGACGGCGGTGAATGTCGTAAACAATATGTAGAGATATGCGTATGTTATCGCGATGTAGAGTGAGATGGCGAAGCAGATGGTGGAGCGAAATAACATCTTGGCAGGTCGGATGATTGAAAATTTGAATAGTTGGCTTGGTGTAAGACCACCATCCAGTTTTGAGCGTAGCTTTGAGTTTCCAGTTTCGGCTTTCAGTCGTTTGACTTTTCGTTGTAGGATGATAATTCCAGATGTTTCTCTCATAAGAATGAGTGACGTGATGAAGAATGCGCCACCCTAATAGTGTTAGCTACCAACTGACAGAGAGCCTAGATGTAAACCTACCACTATAGCAACAAACCAAAAATTCCACCGCCAGCCTTTCGCAACCGTCAAAAAGCCACCGATAATAGGACCAACACAAGGCCCGATAGTCGGTCCCATCATCCTGGTCGAAGTCAGCCTTGATCTATAAGACACATATATGTTGGAAATACCAGACTGCCATCGCAGTGCCTCGTTGCTCCCTGGGTATGAGATCTGCGATGGTCCCACCACCAAGCACCATAGGCGCTCCTCCGAAACAGCCCATGAAAAACCTGAACACAACAAACTGCGCCATGTTCGTCGCTACAGCTGCCGCGATCGTAAAGACGATGAAAAGCAAGTTACAGCTGTGATACAATGGCAATCGACCATACATCTCCGACAGCGGCGCAATGATCAACGGCCCAAAGGCAAACCCAAGGACATATACGGACACCATGAAGCCCTCCAGCAAATCGCTGGTTGAGTTGAAGTCGCGCATAACTTCCGGGACGCCAGGCGCGAATTGTGAACTTGCGAGAGGCGTGAGGAAAGTAATCCCGCTAATTAGGGCAACCATACCCCATTTACGGGATGCCTTCCAGTTGAGTGGGTTCTCGGGGTCATCGGGGCCGTCAAAGTCTACAATATTTGGATCGCGTTCAGGCTCCTCTTCCGCGTCTGGTTCGTCTGCACTGTAGATAGAGGCTGGTCTGTTGCCTTTTTCAACATCTTGCTCTCCCGTCGTGTACTCATGCTTCTTCTCGTCTAAAGAATGCCGCCTCTCTGAGGTATGACTAGGAACTTGGTGTATAGAACCGAGGTTGCCTGGGATATCCGCATCATGACCCTCAGCTGCTGCTTGGTCGATGATCTCGCTTCTCGTAGGATGGCGATACAGTTTGGGTGGTTCTGATTGTGGCATGTCGTCAGTTCTTAGCTACCGTGGAAGCCTCAGTAGGTGGTGATTGCGCTAGGTGTCATGGAAAACCGCCTAGGGATGCGCTGCTCAGCCCGACAAGACAACTCGAGATTCTTTCATGGAAACTCGCAAGACGAACGCTATTGAGCTAATAGTACTGGCATATGGAGATTCTGACCACGTTGGCGTCCGGAAATAAGGCAATGGGTTGCGTCAATCACCTGGATCTGTAGGGGAGTAGAGTAGGTAGTAGTGGCGCGGTAAACGACAGCTGCTGGAGTCCATATTAAGTAGTAGATATTGAGATGCAGCTAGTGGTAGTGGACAGTGTCAGTGGCTGCGGCTGCGGCTACCTGCTTGCCGCACGTCGTGTGGCTTGCTTGGTGAAGGCTATGATCGTTAAATCCGTTACACAACAGGGTGCGAGAAAAAGCAAGTGCAACTTGCGCCAACTAAGCCCTATCACGGAAAGATCGTGATGCAATAATCCTTTAAGAGAGACCCTGTTTATCCCCACTGCATTTTGACTGTGATTAGTCTGCTCGTCAATACGATGATGGAGGGTCCAAGACGCGGAACACTACCGTGAGCCTAGGTACCCATATAGCGCATGATCCCCACACTCACCACCTTCTCCGCTGTACCTCCCCCCATTTCTATCCGGAGAACAACACAGATTTAAGGTAGTGTTGAATAGTGAGAATTGGGTTATTGTCACTCCAACTTGACTTTAGCAGCTTTGTCTGCGAAGTTTGATTTCACTGAAGTTCCGTTTTCTCCATCTTCCCCGCTATTGCTTAACAACAAACTCCACACTCCTCGGCCGAACCGTTTGATTTAGCGTTGATTGCACGCCACATCTCGGGATATGATACCCATCTGGTGATATAGCACAGTCAAGAATAGTTTACAACGCAGTGTCGGTGAACACGTGACCTGGATCCTTTCTCACCACGTGCGCTGAAGATTGAAGCAGATTCGCGTTACTCTCAAAGTCATGACGACTGCCTCACTCAGCTCTTATGCTGTCCGCGTCAAACAGGTGAGGCAGATCACCGTTCTGTTGAATTTCGCGTTGTAGATGACTTGGTTTGTGGAGCCGTTGTGCTCGACGTAGATGATATGATGCCCGACTCTTCTCGCAGATATGTCGTCCATAAGGTGGTCTATGCTTTTGACATCTTCCGTCGAGACATGTATTGTATGAAGAAAGACTCATTGTCACTCTTCCGCATGCTCATGCAGTTCTTCTTTCCTCTTGGCCCTATATCATAGCACCATGCCGATAACTAGGCTGTGGTAAAGGCTCTGTGACTTCGTAGTTACCGAAAAAGTCGACGCTACTCTTTCTTCGCTCCTCCATCGCGTCTTCCAAGTCACGGCTCACGCAGATCTCCATGCCTCCACTCTGCTCCGTACCCTTCTTCTCTGTCGACATCTTGTAGCCTACACCCGCTGAAGAAGTTGCCGCCGCCGAAGTCGGGCTGAGATAAGTAGAGGTGGTAATCTTTTTCTTCCCTGGAAGGTCGTTTTCTCCAAGTAGACTAAGCCAACGCAACTCAGCACACCGCTTGAAGACGTCTTCGAGGTCAAAGAGGTCCTGCATGGAAAGACTGTACATTTTGCCGCTTCGAAATTTCCAGAAGAAGAGGACCGACAATTCAATGGTTTCAATGCATTGAAGCGAAAGGGCGATCTTGTCCATGGCTGCGAGGAGGTTGCTTGTCATGCGCGCCTGGTCTCTCATCATACGATCTCGGCCCCCGTTCTTCAGCGTTGTGTAGTTCCATTCGATGTAGAAGCGTATATGCGTTACATGCTTCAGCATGGGCAATTGCAGAATGTGCTGTGAGAACTCAAAATAGTCGTTATTGGTCCGCGTATTTCGTAGTTCAGCGTGCAACGTAATCTTGCTGCGGCGAAAGTAATTGTAAAGCAACTCGTCGCGGATTTGTTTGTTAATAAGGAGGAGCTCGGGCCGTAATCGGGATGCCTTAGCTACGGAGGATCCATACCCAAAAATGTCGTGCCTCCAGGGTTCTCCGTTGGACATCTCTGCTCCCCATAGACAGGTGTGAAGTTCAGGCCGATTTTTGGTGTCGGGTAACACATAGTTGAAGATTTGGGCGCGGATTTCTCTTGGGAGAGCCAGAAGTGGCGAGCTGAAGGTGCTCGGTGTGAGTTCAAGTAGAATCTCTAGTTCCCGGAAAAGCATACTCTGGCGATGCTTGTAAAGACCATCTGAGCTTCGGTTCGAGGAAATTGAGAGCTTGTTGCTCGCTCGCTGAACCGTCGCCATGTGCGTGTGCAGGGTGGCAGGGTTTGTACCAGATGGGAGGAACGCGATCGTCTAGTGTCCGGACGTGCAATTTCGACAGATATACCAGGTTAATAGGAAGCGAGCTATACGGTGTTTGCAGTAGGCTGTCCAGAACTTGAAGACGGATAAATTAGCTGTGGACAATTGTTCAACTAGGTATAAAACGTCGCCGCAAGCGATCTTATGGAACGTTTCAAGGGAAAGGAGAGTATCTGCGACGCCATGGCTGTGCAATGCGGCCGAGTCATGTGTGAGTGGTCGCTCGCTGCTGTGCGCGCAGGGATCGATTGCAGAACCCGGGCCAGCATTGGAAGTGGGGATGCTGTATCACGTGTCAAACGGCAAGCGCGAGATCTCGCCGGCACAAAGTGTTTCAGCTTGGCGCTTCGAACCTCCTGCATCGGCAGCTTGCTGGTGTATCAGAACCTCAAACGCTTCGGGTTGGCATTTTTGCGTGCGATGGCCATCTGCAGACTCGACCGCCTGGGCAGAGAAAAAGCATGCTGACGTGTGTGTGCGGGGACATGGCGGAAGTAATGATCTTGATGTGCATCAAATCTGGAAAGCTCTTATTACTTCGTTCTTATTGCGCGTCATCTATAATTAACAACAAGTGACGGAATTCGGAAAATCGCGTTGCGCCTTTCGACGTCTAGGGGTATCACAACAAACAAAACAAACACCATGGGCCGCTACTCATGGCTGCCCGCCTACTCCACCAGCTCTGAATCAAAGCACTGGCAGTCCGCAATGCTACCGCCAGGTCTCCATCCGCTCAACAGAGTCGGACACCGCCATGCGACGTCCATGTCTGAGCACTGAAACAGCAAATTCCATATCCTCTCCGTTGTGTATCCGAACCACGGCTGGCTCATTGAATCGGGTCGTCCTTGAAGGTAGGGTTCCTGGTGGGCCCAGCTGTTCTCATCGACAAGGAGCTGCCATAGTTCATCGTAGATGGATTTGTCGATGCCGCGGATACGTGCTGCGGTGACAACGAATTGGCCCTTGTAGCTGAGGAGAACGTTCTCACGGTGGGAGTCGTCGATTCGGGATTGTAAATTCGGGAACAGCGAGGTTTCGTCCTGCCAACCGCGCTTGTCCCCACAGTCGTCGCTGTTGCAAAGAATGCCTGCCCATCCTAGGTTGAGGAAACCCGTCTGGTTCGCACGGAAGTATCGCTCGAAAAATGGGTAGAACTCTCGTGGGTTATGAACATCAGCTTGGAGGAACACGGTTCTCTCGGCGAGACTGTCCCAGCGGTTGACGATATGGTTAAGGTACGTTTCGGCTTCGCGTCCTACGTTTGGAAGCTTTATCACTTCGTGCGCGTTCGTTTCTTGCTTAATCTGTCTTTCGTCCGCCTCGCTGTCCTTCAAGTAAATCGTGATAAGAGCCTCTGACATCTGCGACATACTCTCCAATTTTGCTATAAGTGCTGCGACATCCTCGGTGCGCTCTTTGTACATGCTGATAACAACTTCTAGAGGACCGATGGGTTCGTATTGTAGATCCAGATGCGGCTCCACTCGGGGAAATTGTCGTTGTCCAAAGTTGAAACTTATAAATGCTGTCCACAGCATGACCAGGGCTAGACTGATCAAGGGTGAACGAAGACTGTTGCTTTGCGATCCTGTTCGTGGAGCGCGTTGTGATTTCGTTCCGCATTCTTCCTCATCATCTGGTTCTGCTCTGGGTGAACGCGAAACAAGGTCGTAGCTTCCGCGAGGATCTTTTCGGCGAACAGCCTGCTTCCAAACTGTGTCATAGACATCTTTACTACAGACACATAGGATTGCGAAGAGGAAGCAGGATAGTTGTTGCCAACTGGTGTATGAGCGACGTAACGAGAGGACCGTTGAGCAACCTATGATTGCCATCATGGCTAAAATCGACGTTACGCTGCGCACGCGTTGTGTTGCTGCAAGGCCGCTTCCAGGTAGTGGACTCTCTGACTGCATGTCCAGTGGAAAAAGTATCGAGCCTCCAGCTAAAAAGGCCGCCGCGGTCGATAAAGCATTTAGGGTGCGGAGAGGTAGGCTACTGACGTTGAATGTGTCCCATTGCTCACCAGGCCAATTGCCGACAGCGCAGACAAACGCAAGTAAGCTTCCCATACCAACCAACCAAACCGCATTCGTACTTCGAGTAGCACGGTCTCCTGGGTAGTGTTTAGCAACCAGTTTCCTCAGTGCACTAGCAGTGCCGACAAGGAGCATTGCCAAAATAGATGCGATCAAGCTTGGCACCATCAGCCTGTACTCCATGAACAATATCCCAGCACAAGCTGGAAGAAGCAAACTCAAAGACAGGATTTCAGCATTTGAGCGAGAATTGTAGTTGAATACGTAGAGTACCAGACTTTCGGCGAAGAAGGCTATGGTCTGATATGGTCAGCGTAACATATTCTTGGATTTGGTTTAAGACAACTTACTGTGATCATGCAGAGGAGAGGTAGATTCGAAGTATGCAGGACTGCCTGTACTGTGCAGAATGCCGATACTGCTTGCAAGCCGGTTGACGCGACCATTAAGAACGCGCCTTGAACTGTTCGCTTTCTACGTTGTTCTTGCCCGCTGGCTTCCTGGACGTTCGATCTCCATGGATGTAAAAAGGAAGCGACAATTGCCGTAGCCGCAATTTGGCAAATGAACAGTTCCAAGGGATAGTGCAGATTGTTTTCAATCAACAGATGCCTTGTGGTCAGCAGCGAGGTCGCGGCGCATGCAAGCCAGACAAGCTGGCGGTAGTCTTGGAGTCGTTCGCACACGGCCTGGTACTGGAAAATAGACTCTGTTGCTTCATCGGTGCGCCCGAGGCGATGGCGTGTGGTCATGATGGTATGGACTCGACCCTGGACAGGTTGTGGTATGAAAAAAAGTGTGATGGGGAAGGAAGCCCAGGGTCGATTGTGATTCCCATCAGAATCTTCCTCGGGTGCCTGATCGGCCTGCAGGCCATGGAAGCGAGTCTATAAAGAGCACTGAAGGCTGAAGGTAAGGCGTACAGTGCGTGTGACGACGGGGGTGCTGTGTGGGTCAGCGCAAATGGGCCGTCGGGACCTGAGTTGCTGCGCAAACGTAAAAGTTGTGGAGTAGTGTCTACCAGGACAACAAGGCTGGTCGCTGTAAATAATCTAACGAGACCAGTGTAGAAGCTCCTACAGAGCCTAGAGGCCCTGGAAGGATTTCACTCTGAAGAATTGCCTCTCCTTCATATCAGGGCTAGAACCTGACAGCAGGCCCAAGTTCAGACTAATACGGTAGGAAAGCCTGCAAATCAGCCACAGAAGGTAGGCAATCTGTGGATGCATAAGTCTCAGAGTGCGTCTAGCCGAGGGGTGGCCCCTTCACGATCGTAGGATATAGAGGCGCAGTCTGTACTCGGTACTGTACACCTGTCACACGCACCACATGGCATACAACCCTCCTTCAACCGGTGCATAACAGCGTTAGGCCTCCGTATGCCAAGAGAGTGTCTAATATCGATCGTCCTGTTACCTGTCCACAGTAAGGTCCTGGTGACAAGCAAGCAGCGACTTTGGAGATGTAGCTACCGCTGCTAGATATCCATGTTTTATGCGTTCCTACTCTTGATCTCCAAATGTTCTCAGACGCATTAGGCACATCACGTTGAGCCCTGCGAAAGGGGTGTTATGAATTACTCCCGTATGTGGCCAAGCCGGGATGCGAACAAGGGATCGCGACTATTGGTCCAATCGTTTAAGGCTGGCTAATTACGAAACAGGCCTGCAACTCGGGTCCGTTAGTATTTGGAGGCCTAAGCGTGGCAGACGGGTCAGACGGCGAGAAATGTGGGTGGGACACAAATGCGTTCAGGGTCCTTCGTGGGGAAGAGACGTTGTTAGTAACTAATTCCGCGCGGCGACTGCCTACGCTTGTCGTTGTACCTGCGACGCGACGATACCTCGACCATACGACCGACCATTGCGGAGGCGTACTTCACAAATAAGGGCTGACCGATTGCTTTTGGTTGGGTTGGGCGGCTGTGCAGATGCGACTGTACTTATGCCTTTTGAGATGTAGAACCCACAATACGGGTCTCGCCTGCAATTATTCCGTCTTTTCTTCCTCTTAGCGGGACGGTGTTCATCGCCAAGACGGTCAGTTCCCGAAAAAGGGAAACCCACCTTTACAGCCTTGCCATTGTAAGCCCATAAGCTCGAAGTCTCAAACTTCGTTATGCGACTATAATTCGAGAGGATCCCTTACAGTGATGCGGTGTACGAGAGCGCATGCTGCGCAATCACTAGGACCCAATATCGCCAAGGCCACATCGCCGACCAAGCTCAAGCAACGTAATGTGGGTGGAGACGATTCGTATACTCTACCCAGGACTTTTTAATGTCTCGCCATATGCTGATGCGGTTCCAACAAATCCATCAGTATGGAGTGTCCAAAGCTTGCTTCAAGTCATGCCCGTCAACGCTGAGCCAAATACTCTGCGCCTCAGCGACACTGCGAGTTTCATCGACCAAAAGGATCTGTAACACAGGGAGCCAAGTTTTCCAGCCAGATCACGTGTTTCCTTTTTGGAGAAGAGATGCGATTGGTTGATTTTCATGGTTGAAAAGACATCCCGGAGGAAAGGGGAGACTGATCGTCGCATTAGATTATGATTAACTATCGAAGCTAGTGGGATATCATGATAGCCGTTCGATTGACATTCTTTTGGGTCGTTATTTCTAGTTTCCGATGACACCCTCTACCATGTCCATTACGCCGGAAAGTACGCTTTGGATGACTGGATACTTTGGAAGGAATGGGTTGTAAACACTTTGGCACCTGGCGTTGAAATCCGCCGTGTTACCAATCTCTACAGCAAGCTCGTTGCCAGGCACACCGAGCTTCGCAATCGGTCCGCTGCGAGGGGTGGCCTTGTCCCAGCCAGGACCCGCGGCGGGGTTCTTGATGAATTCGACGAACCAATCGTTCTGGAAATCGGCAAGTGCCTGCTGTTCGGCAGTCACGCCCTCCATACCAGCAAAAGCACCATTACCTCCGAAGAAGAATGAGATCTCAGCGCCGTGCGTTGGGTAAGCCACAGGCAAGGGTAGAAGGTTGGAGTAGTTGCCGAAGAAGCGGTATGACCAAGTGTCCTGAACCTCACTGCGCACATCGATGAAGTGGTCGACCGGGCAGAAGAAGCGTGCGTCACCATACTGCGCACCGCTCATTTCGGAGACAGTGGAGTAATCAGCGATGTCGTACGCGGCTTCGATAAGGTCCTTTGGAATTTCCGCTACATCAGCGTCAAAAGTGTTGAGCCACTCCGAGAAGACGGTGTTCTCGCCGCCATAAACCAATCCAAACAGAGCGCCTTCTTTGTCAGAGTTACCCGTGAGCAGGGGAACGTGCGAGGCATAGTTGCCAGCAGCGAAACGTGAGGCGTAGTCTTGATAGCGCGTCTTCTCGTCCACGACAGGTGTGAAGTACGTGTTCAAAGTGGCATTGAAGGCCTCAGTTTGGAAGGCGTACATGTCGACTTTACGCAGGCACTCGAGCTGGCCTTCACCAGTCTGGCAGCCAACCTCCTTGGCAACGAGATCAAGCGCCTCATTGGTGGGACCTACGGCCGGACCAGACTTTGCGTTCGCGGCCATCTGAACGGCACCCTTAAGGAATGTGTCGGGGTGATTCCAGAGATAATGATCTACTTGAACCGATCCGGAAGAGTGACCTCCAAAGACGATGTGCTCAGGGTTGCCGCCGAACTGAGCAATGTTGTCATGCACCCACTGCAAAGCCTTGTCGACATCGAGAATGCCAAAGTTCTGCGACTCTTCGCCGTTTGCAAGCTCGGCGGAGTTCGGGTAGGCCCAAAGACTCTCACGAGTGTTGAAGCTAACAAAGATGACGCCTTTGCGAGCAAAGTTCTCACCAACCAGTTGAGGATTGCTACTTGATCCAGTGACCATAGCCCCACCGTACATATACACAAAAATCGGAAGACCCGGTGTATCCAAGCCTGGTGGAGAAGCTGGTGGACCCGGGGGACCCGGGGGACCGCCTGCAGGGCCTGCGGGAGGGCCTGGTGGATGATGAGGATGAGGTCCATTTGGCTTTTGAGGGAATGTCGGCGCCCGTGGCGACTTACCATTTGAAGAGGGCACCCAGATGTTGAGGTTCAAGCAATCTTCATCCTGCTGAGAGTATGTTGTGCCGGTGATGGCCTGTGGACATGTAGCACCATACTTTGTCGCATCAAGCACCTCGCCCTTCTTGAGCTTGCTGACGTCCTTAGGGGCTTTCCATCTATACAGGTGGTCAGCAATAGGGAGGACATTTGGTCGCCACTGTCACATACCGGTTTTCCCCACCCGTTGTCTGCGCGAACGGAATGCCTAGGAAAACAGAGTTTCCATAGTCGTCTGTGAAACCCTTTACGGTTCCTTGATCGAGTGTCGCGGTGCCGTCCGTAACAGTTGCTCTTGAAGGTTTCGGAGGCAGCGGAGTGCTAGCCACCTGACCGAGGAAAAGGCCTAGTGAGAGGCTCTGTAAGCCAATAAGAGTTGTCGGAACCTTCATGACGCAAGTCAGCGAGACACGATGGTGGGTAAGAGATAGAGTTTGGCGGGAGGCTGCAGATCGTGTTTGGGCTTACACATGGCTATATAGGGCACCACTTCGGCGTGCTTACCATTTCATGGGAACCATTCTGGCCGCCAACTGCGCGGTAACACCATGTTACCATCAACTGCCGAGGATTGTCCGGCGTGGAGCCTGATGGATCTGTAAGGGTATTTTCATCTCCGTCGCTGCAGGTCTCAGGCGTTCCCGAGGTCCGTCGATAATCAGGGACCGCAAATTTGGCAAGCTAAGCGAGTCGTACCAATCGCGGTCTCCACAAGTCGTCCATACTAGAAGCCGGTTGATACACCTAGAGCGCTAGAATGCCACCGGTTCCAAGGTAGAACCTTCGGCATTGTTCGCCATGTGTCTACTTGTCGCCTTCCAGACCACTGTTCCCTGTCGTTCATCGCCATGCAAGCCAGGAAGCATGCTTGCTCTTTCGGACCGAACCATGGAACTTGTCGTGCACGCCCGATTAAGATCTGAGACCTATCGCATTCTGCCATCGCACCCATGGCCCCGAAGCTTGCGAGAATTGGTTTGCCATCCCATTACTCGCCGGTCCCTTTGACATGTGAGCGAAGGCGTTCAGGTTCCCAGTGCCGCGGTCGGCGGACACGATGCCATACATGTAGTGCTCTCGTCTCGAGTCAAATTCTTCCAAAACTTAGCTAAACTTGCTCTAACGCATGAAAACGCCGCCACATTGTAGTGGCCGTCCAAGGGTTTCGCAACTCAGAACTGGGTGCCGACTCTAGCGCCCGAAGGACTTTTGAATTAGACTTGCCAGTCACGGTTGGGCCTTTGGGGAGTCCCCTGATGCAATCATGCCACAACGCTACGGGACGGCATACTAGTACCATAACCCGCAACATCCTGTAAAGTTACTTTAGGGGTGGTTTGCCTGTGGAGAAGAAATAAAGATACACCCGCTGTCAATTCTTCTGCAAATCCTCGCAGCTCTCCACAGACTCTGCTCTTGGAACTCTTACCAAGGTGGAGCGAGCAGGCTCGAACTCCTTACGGCTCTATCTCGGTAACGGCCGGACAAGCAAAGCAGCATGGGCGACAATGGGCTCGGGCAGGTGGTAGGTTACTTTGCTCCCCCTTCCTTCGTTCGCTACGTGCGGCGCTGATGTAGCTGGCAGATCTCATGGTACATTTGCACGATCGCCGCGGTCCCTTTCGTTGCGCTGCGCATGTATGCACGATGGAAGAGGCTGGGCAATCTGGGAATAGATGATTTTCTCATCCTCCTCTCATTAACATGTCTGATTGGAGATCTCATCATCCAACAGCACATGTGGAACCTAGGACTGGGCGACATGTCAACAGTAACACCAGAGAACTTCAAAGGAATAATGCAGATGATTATTCCCGGATCAACACTCTATGTCTCATCGCTATGGGCTATCAAATTCGCCCTGGTTTTGTTCTACAAGAATCTCGCCGCGCCGGGCTCACGACTGGTCCTTGTGTATAACCTCGCGCTGGCTGGATTGGCTGTTACGTACCTTGTTATCTTCTTCGATATCATGTTCCAGTGTTTTCCACACAACAAGCGATGGTCCACTGATCCTAACTGTGAGCAAACCCTGTCGTACATGCATACGGTGGATTCTGACCATGCGCAGATCAATGCAGTCCCAAAGCCGCCGAGATCAACTACTGGATCACCATCTTCTTCAACATCATTACAGATGTGATCATTATTTGCCTGCCTATAACCATGGTTTCTCGACTGCAAATGAAACTCAAGCAGAAGATCGGTGTGGCCGCAATCTTCGCCTTGGGTTTCTTCGTCGTCATCGCTAGCAGTATGTACCCACTAGATTTGAGTATGGATCGGGAACTCGGCTAACCTTGCACCAGTCGTTCGAGCCTATTACTCCAAGAAGAACGAGACAATGCTGACGTGCACCGTCTCTATGATCGAGACGGCGATTGCCATAATTGCTACTTGTCTTCCCGCCCTGCGCTCCATGATTCTCGGTACAAACAATACCTCCAAGGACGCATCCAACAGCTACGGTCGCCACTACGAGCTCTCGTCTGCGCGACGAAGAGCCAGCGGAAACCGCCTCAATCCGTCCAGCCAGATAACTGGTGGTTTACATTCGACGCACGACACCCGGAATCGAGCGAATGGGTCAGAGGATTCGTTATTCACGGATCCACCATCAGATCAGATAAACGGCGTAGAACAGTTCGTGGGCGGTAAAGGAATAACGGTGAACACGCAGATCGAAACGATGTTTGAAGACTCAAGTTCGAGGAGCAATGTCTCTGCAGGTTCGACGAAGGCGAAATCGCCATTTAATTGATAAAGAAATGGTGGAATCTTGCAAGAATAAAAAAGCGATACACCCTAATATACGTAGTCCACGAATAACTGAATCATGGAACGATGAAGATATATTGCCTGAGTGGGGTGCCATGTTCCACAAGCCACTGTTTAAGGAGGGATTCAGGAGCTGAAAAGATTACGATGGGCACTGTAAAGCCACCGGATAACCACATTTGCGTGAAAACAAGTGTCGCTCAGACCGCTTCTTGCCCTACGGCGATGCGTTGAAACGACGCGTTTGCGGAAGGGTATATCCGCATCGGCAATCGACACGGCAAACTTGCCCGGATGGAGGAATCATGACAGCATGATTCAGAGAGGCGACCAGAGGCGACTGATGGAGAAGGGAACTACACATAGCAATGCATTCAGGATAAGTTAGAGTCATTGAACGAGGCTAGCAGGAGCTTCATGAAACGAGGCCTTGAAGAAGATCGACATGGGGGAGAGTGTGAATATATCAATGGATTGGTAACATGAGAGCCAACATATGCTAAAGTATCCTCGAGTGGAGAGAAATCTTCATCTTCTCTCGAAAACGCCATGAAACCTCTTTGAACGCCAGGTATGCAGCTGGTAGGTGCAAGACTGCTCGAGCAGATAGTGAATACCAAAACCGCCTGAAACTCCACTCAGGTCGAATCCTATACCTCTAGTCCACCGACCATGTAGAAAAGCAAATAAGCCTCAGCAGCAAGTACTTCTGCCTCGCTGACAAGCACTACCTTGCTATCATCGAACATGAACCAGTCGTTGCCCTCTCTGCTGTAACTGACGTAATGTCCAGAGTCAATCTTGCCCTTGTGCACAATCACACTGCTCAGCTCGTAGACGAGGGCGTTTGTTGGGCTGTTGACGTTATGATTCGAAGGTGGTGCACCGGACGTCTTCGCGGCGCGCATGGCGGCTTTGTGGGCGGTTGTGTAGGGGTATATGTCTAGTTTGACGGGAAAGCGAACGGGAGTTTCGATCTTAGAGGACGTGGATTTGGTATGCTCGAAACGCTGCGTGGACGTTAGTATGGAGATGTGGAGAAAAACACTCGGTGCGTACCTTGAGGTGAATGGAGAGCACGGGGGGTAATCTCTTGATGCTCAGCTGCTTGGTCGCATTTTGCGGGCTGTCGCAATTCCGACATGTGTAGTCGGCCGAGCCCAGCTTCTCCTTGACTGTGAAGCGTTCGAGACAGTCTCTCAGATCCAGTGGGGTCTCTTCACCCTTCTCTACATTCATCTTGCGCTTCTTGCCCTGTATCCGGACATCCAAACTAAGGTCCATGTATGGATCTTGGGCCGTGGTAACATTCCGGCAGTTGTCGCATGTCACGGTACTTGACAGCTTCCCACAAAACGTCTGGTGTACCACGCATTTGCAATCTTCCGAATCGTCTGCCGACCCGCCGTTTGCCAGATGCAGCGTGTTGAGTATAAACTGCATGTACTCGTGCGCGTCTTGCTGTTGGTATCCTGCGAGGGCTTCTCCAGCTAGCCAGCTGCCCATGAGCATGCCCACGGCCCCGAATCCCTCCGTCTTCTCAGCTGAGTGGAACTCGACAAACATTTCGTCCAGCGCACAGCTGACGCATGATTCCTTGTCGCATTCTGTCTGCTTGTGTCCTTCGGAGAGGTAGAAGTTTCGAATGAAGGGGTTATGGACGAGGGTTTGTAGGATGACGCTCATGAAGCACGTCTGGCCCATATTGTAGAGCCCGCGCAGGCCTATCGCTCGGCAGGGGAGAAAGGTCGAGTTGCTTATGACGAGCTTGTGGTCTTCGGTCGTGGTAGTGTCTTCGTACTTTCGCTTCTTGCCTGCATGCAGTCAGCCAACGCTGGCCCCTGTGATAGAACAAAGCCATATGCGTACCCTTCTGCACTCTAAGGACATCCAGAGTCTCATCGTAGATGAAGTCCTGGCAGTTTCCACAGTAGATGTTGCCATCTCGTGATTCCACGGCTGCTTCTCGTTAGCCTTTGCATCTATACGGCGTCCTGCTGAACCCACAGAAACAGTGTGACTTGGTCTCAAAGTGCAGATCCCGATCCGCCTCGGTCATGATGCTCGGGCACTGCAGACACAGAAAGAGCGGTCTCAGTGACACGACGTTGCGCGCCTCCGCTGGCGCATTGTATGTCTGCGCTATTATGCTTGGCTTCTCGTGGATGTTCTGGAGGATGGCCCGGTAGTGCTGGAGTGTCTGCTTGCGCGCCTTCTCGAACATTTCGCCCATGTGCTCTGCGTGGAATCAGTAACCTCGTGTCGAGAGTTCGCGTGACCAAATGCTCACCACATCCATATGCGATATGTGCCATCTGGCTGCTCGGCACAATATTGCCCTTTGCATTCTTGACGATCTTGGGCGACGCCAGCGCCGACGCCTTTGGGGCAACTGCTATCGTGTCCATGGTGCCGGGCAATTCGAGGCTTGGTACAGTCGATGTGCTCGCGCTCTACATACTGCGACGTTGGTTAAACCTCGGAAGCGCTCACCAGCAGCACAGGCGCAACGCTTCAGTCAAAGCGGCGCTCACGATGCGCGACTTGGGGAGTTATTTCTGGGGTTGAGGCGGACATGCATGAAACCAATCAGCACAGGCGCTACTAGCGCATCTCCCGCCCCACCCGTCCCGAGGTCCAATAGGCACATTGCGATGGAGCATGTCGAGGCTCTTTTTGTCGCGATTACTTCAACTTCTCCAGTTCCATGTCCTAAGACCTATCACAAAATTACCGCCTACAAGTCTAAGGTACAACCTCAGCGTCACGCGTGGAAGCTCATGTAGTAGTCTGGGCTGAAAACGATCGCTATCTTTCTTCAGAAATTCCTTACCACCAAGGAAGACGCCAGTGTCTACGAGTGCTTTACTAGTAGTGGCCTTTGGATCCAACTTCTCGTCTTCTACCCGAAGTCTCCAATATCGTTGCCGCGCATACCCGCAATTCCTCCAACGGCCAATATCTCCTCGTGCCAGCTTAAAGAAGTAACTAGTGCAGCTAAGGAAAGTCTGCAGGTGCGTGTCATTGAATAACAATGCGATCGCGTAGTCAAGGAGACATTCTCTTACTGCGATAACTTGCTGAACGTTCGTGATGTGCTGTCCTCTATCCTGGCAGAACTTCCCAGGGTGGCAGACACCGAACGTGACCCTCTTGATCATATCCTTGCTCGCGGTAGTATGATCAATCCATCCAGCTGGGAGCACATCACGGTATCGCTGTGTACTATGGTACCAGAGGCGGGTAAATGGCACGTCGTTTTTCTGGAGGTATGTTGTGTAGACTGCGGGACCAGTACCTCCTAGAACAATTGCAACCTTCACCTTAGAATGAGCGATAGGTTCACGTGCGACTGGATGCCAATAGACGCGGAGATCTATCGGTACCTGAGCCCTCACACCAGTACTAGAGTTAGCGCCTAGGATCTGCTTACGGTCGATACGTCAAGGTGTTACGTCAATGCAGGAGACGTCATGATCCTCTATGCCCAGTCAACGGAAGGCTAGTTTGAGAAGAATGCAGGAGCACAGTGCTTGCTTCGTCCGCTGTTGAGTATGAAGAGATCAAGTGCTGTAGAGTACAAGTCAAAGCAGGTATCATCAAATGGCGTAGACAACATACCAAACTATCTTCTGGCCCGCCGAATGGTTTGAACAGGTTCTCCTCTTCCATGGGAGATGATCACGCCAAAGCTCAACACGACCGTTCATGGTGGACGTCTCGTCTCGAAAGATTGGTCATGGGTTTTGCTGTTCACGGGCCTGCATCGCGATATATATTAACCGGCCGCACACATATATCCACTGCCAAGTACTGATTTCCGGCAACTGATCGCACAAAGCCATCTATTTCGAAACGCCATATATGAGCGCCCAGAAAACTCGACACACGCGTCCCATGATTGGCTGTGTCATCTTAAAATGCAGGACTGCCGACAGCAGCCGCCCCAAACGTCGTAGAAAAGACATCTGAGGTGCATGCTGAAATCTTGGAGAACACCTAGCGATGGCTTGCATGTGGCGTGGTCATATTGCAGCCCAGCGATTGAGGTAGATGATATAGAGGTAGGGGCGTCATTATGCTTGTATTCGGGTGGTAGGTAAAGTGTGGTCATGGGAGTGGAAAGAAGTATATAAGAAAGAGGCATGACATCCAGTGACAGCGCCTCATCCGCAACTTGACACTCCTTGCTTACCTTTGTACTACCCAGGTGCCCGTATTCCGCTCAATATGAAGTTCTTCGCTGTTGCTGTCGCCCTGTTGCCCGCACTTGGGTCAGCACATACAATTGCTCAGCGCGTCAGGATTAACGGACAGGACCTTGGTCAAGGCAATGGTATCCGCGTTGCGCCTTCCAACAACCCCATCACGAACGTCAATGATGGTAACATTGCTTGCAATTCTGGTGCTTCTTCCTCCAGCAAGGTCATTGACGTCAAGCCTGGAGACAGGGTTGGTGTTAACTGGGGTCATGTTGTCGGCGGAGCACAGTATGTTCTTGTCGTCCTAATCTTCTCACCAACATTTTACTAATTCCTCCAAGATTCGCAAACGATCCCGACCACCCAATCGCCAAATCTCACAAGGGTCCGGCTATCTTCTACATGGCAAAGGTCTCAAATGCTGCCTCTGCCTCCCCCTCTGGCCTCCAATGGTTCAAAGTCTCTGAAGACGGCCTCGACAGCTCGGGGAACTGGGGTAAGCGACACTTCTGTACAAAACACACGTGAGAAATGCACTGACTTTGTATACGCGCCTATTAGGTGTCGACAGAATGATAAACAATGGTGGATGGACGGAGATGACAATGCCATCTTGTGTTGCGCCCGGTCAGTATCTTCTCAGGGCTGAGATGATCGCATTGCACAGTGCTAGCACGACTGGTGGTGCGCAATTCTACATGGGCTGCGCGCAGATTAACGTCTCCGGATCGGGATCGAAGATCGGAAATACGGTCAGCTTCCCTGGTGCCTACAAGGCGGATGATGCAGGGATCAAACTCAGCATCTATAATGCTCAGGGTCAGCCCAAGGGAAACGGAACGCCATACAAGATTCCTGGCCCTGCGGTGCTGCAATGCTAGGAAGTGTGAGAATGGGGGGTTGGTATTCTGGGGAGGATTGGAGGTAACGTTGGGACTTTGGTTGATCAATGGAGACTTAAGACCCTAATGTAGCGTCCCGGGTGGCATTTGGGCGGGTTTCGCGAGCATCTTCATACCTAAGTAGCTTTCTACGTATACACGGTTTAGAAATGTTGAGAGAGTTTCATAGGCGACAGGATAGTAATGCCCAATTCGTATCTCCCTGGGGGAACGCCGTTGTGCGATGGTGTTGTGTATTGTGGCTGTGATTGTGGTTGCGTGCAGGCGCCTGTGCTGGTGGATGAGCTACCGCAATCTCGAATCGAGGATGAACAACATGGTTTGTTCAGCAGGCAGTATACTCTCTGTTCGAGTTATTACACGGTGCGTTCACCTGTACATTGCGATTCTAGTCCCCTGATTCGAATGAGGCATTGTGAGCTGTTCAAGCATGAAACTTCAGTCAACTTGAGGTACTTTCAGGGCTTGGTATGGACAACCATGGAAGATAAGACTTTGCTTGAGTAGTGCAGAAGCTAGCGACAGGCGAGCCCGAGAAAGATAAAGCGAGAAAAAGGAACCAATTGTGTAGAACTGGCAGTGTTAGATACCTACATTGCCGTACAGTGTGCAGATGTAAGTATGTATATCTAGACAGGCTTAACATTTGATGCTTCGCGCCGATTAGAGAGCGATGCGAGGACACTATTAATAGACTGCAATGAATCTTGCAAGAGGGTGCTCTTCATAGGTCCGGCCAAGTTCGGCTTTTTACCCCACCCTGAAAGGATCTGCTCTCCCCGCCTAGACACAGCGGCAATATATCGATATAATATCATTTGCTGATCAAATTTCCATCAAACAAACACAAGGCGTGGTGCCAGAGTGGTTAATGGGTATGACTCGAACGATCTCCATCAACTAGATATCATATGCCTTCGGGCGCGCAGGGTAAGATACATCTACTCCAGATATATCGTCGCATCTACTAATGCTCAAAAAGTTCGAATCCTGCCCACGTCGCTTCCTTTTTGCTGTTCTGGGGTATCCGGAGTGGTCTGTATTGGTTGGTGAAGTTCTTTGGGAGGTTTCGGTTAATTTTTGGTGGTGTGGCGGAACAGTGACCTCCTGAGCGCCAGAACCAATATTTAGACAACTCCAAAATTGTCGCATCCAAATTACCTTCGAATTCTGTGTATATGTTACACCAAAAGTTACTTTTTCATGTTGGGGTGCTGGAGAAGTATAATGGGGTGAAGGTCTAAAGGCCCCACCCAACATACCTACCAAGTGCGCAACCTCGATATCTCTTCAACATCTAACATCACATATTAGATGACCTACTGTTCTCATACTCCAAGGCATTAATGCGCCTCGCCTCCTAACTGCATCAAAATACAGTATGCTGACATTTAAATCGCGCTGGAAAAAGTGGTCAGCCCCGGCCTTCGAAAAATCTCCTGTGCCTGTGTCGAATGTCCTACCCTAATCCAACCTTGGATTCTTCCTGCGTCAACCAAAATCATCATCACAGCTTGCTCAATGTAAAACTTAATATTCGCTACTATCCTACGCACATGTGCAAAGTATTATGGGCTACTATCCCAACAATGCGCACCCTTTGCTACTAGGTACAGTACTTTCACAACCGCCACGCCGCTCAGCCACGCGACTCAACCTGACTCGGCTATAAATAAACCTGGCCTCGTTGCGCCGTAGTCCTATCATACGATTTCTACTCATAACTTCGCATCCTGTCAAGATTTCAGTCGCGACATAGCTCCTATACTCCCAAGGTCTCCCTGCCAGCCCATGTTCTAAGGATACCTCCCTAAGGCTGGGATGTTTTCGCTTCACTTCGCCACGAAGAAGCAGAACGCGACAACCTTGTTTCAGAAAAGCAGAATTCGATGATATACGTAACACTTCCAGAAGGAGCATAAGCCTTTTCCTACTACTGCAGCCCGGAAGCTGGAGTGCTATCACCCAGCATCGCCGCCGAAAAGCGGAGAGTGATGAATCTGGTCGCTGTTTCCTAGGGTGCCGCCCAGAAGGCTACATGGGCTTCTACGATTGTTGCCAAAGCAGTAGTTTAGTATTGTAGGCGGCAAACCCCAATCTTCGTCAGTCGCTTCTACAGCAAAACGACCACCACTGCCAGCAGATCGCATCAAGAGCTTGGTCAAGAGAGTACTACCAGAGCTTGCAGCATCACGAGATCCAATGACGGCCAAGTTCCAAGATGCCGTACTCAGCCATGTATCGCAATCGCTGCCCTTTAAGATACCAGTTCTTCAGAGACATCCCTCCACATGGCCATCGATAAACCGCGTTATGGACGAGTTCTGGTCCCAAGCAGTCGTTGGCGATAGAGCATTAGATATCAAAGAGTCAGACATCCCGTCATCAGACAACATACCTCCTTAAGATTAGGAAGCAATAAGTACCCCTGGACTACTGGTTCACAAGTGGGGAAGTAGAACAAAACACCGCGAAAATAGACAAGCTTGCTTGAAGCCTTTGACGTCTACCGATCTCCTGTCCATCCGAACATTATTGTGCCTTATGACTGGATATAATGTGTAGATGATTCCGTAAAGTCTCGCAAGCCATTTTATCTGGACCGTTTCTTCCGCAACTGGCACGGCGTAACGGCCAAGTCAGATTCCGCCTTTTCCAGGCACGTATTATGAGGAATTGTGCATCGCAGCTACGGGTCGACGATGAGTGGGATTTCGTAAGGTCAGCTGTCTGGGTAAACATTGAGGCCTGATGTAGTAAGATGTAATGCAATACTATGTACACACATTACATGCGCTTTCGAGTATTTTTTAACTATTGGCTGGTAGTCAAGCAGTCCGACGATGATGGGCGGTCTTATATATCTGAATTGTGGCTTTCGGTCGATCTGAATAGTCAAGATTGTTGGGCAGGTGGACAAACAGCAATTACTCACCCCATACAAGAGACCAACCAAACAGGTATAGAGATAACAAGCTCTACCTTACGGCTTACATTAGCTCCCAAGAAGCGAGCTTATGAAAAATAATAGCATTGTAGACTTTTAGATTCTCTATCTATGTCTATACAGCTCTGATACGCTTTATTGTAGTAAGAAGCAGTACTCTACCCTAAAGAGGTGTTTAGTGTCTCTCCTTACCTCTCAAGCGACGCTGGTGAAGCAGGCGATGACGACAACCCGAGATGTTCCTTGGTTGATTGTTCAACGTGACCTGGAGTATTCCGTGGTCGGCTAGAGATACTACCGGGCTTAGTCTCAGAGGATCGGGCACGAAAGGACCCCTGAAAAAATCGAATTAGGTCCCAGGAGCAAGTTGCAGCAAAGTCGAGGAAGGATGTCGGCATCGCCGCCTTGCTGCACTGATCTGCGGAAGGATGAATGCAAATCAGAATTGGGTCGGCACGTTCGGCTGATTTTCTCCCCACATAGAGTCTCCACGTGTTTGGCCAGCGGCAATGGATGTGGCGACGGACGATGCAGCTGAAGAGTCACCGAGACGCTCTATCGAAACTAAAACTCTCAAGATGAAGAAGTTGGCAACAACGAAGATGCTCTTGTGCTCGCCTACGTGTTCCGCAAGCCCGCGCATGACAGCTGCTAGGACAATCGACGCGACGGGGCTACCCAACGGCGCAATGGATGGAGTTACAAGCAAGTCATGATAGGCCGTTCAACACCTTCCGGACATGATCGTCATCGTGCAGCAGTGCCCGACCCTTGAATTGTCTTAGTCTGTGGCGCGGCTGCTGCTGTCCGCGTAGCATTGAAGGGAACATGACATCACCTAGGCATCTTGGTGAGCCTCTTCAGTGCCGCGAAGCCGCCGTTGACGGCTATTGTTCAATACTCATAAACCTGACGTTTGCCTCTTGATACCGCAAGCATCCTCAGGCACACGCAAAATTCCAGCGGCTCCGGACAGAATTGTAAGTACTGATCTACGGCGCCATTCTCCATTCGTCGCTCGCAATCTGCGCGTCGACCCCTCCGAGGCAGCTCACCCCTTAGCGCGACTCCACACGTCATCGCCAGCCACAGCGACGGCGGCTCAGGGTTGTTTGCCAACTGAACCGTCTCCTAACATATATTCGTCAGGGTCTACCTTACCGTTGCAGCCAGTATCCACGACCAGGCAGTGAGCCTGACCAGCACCCACCATGGCGATGCAGCGACCAGTGACCCCTTCGGCCTCGTACGACCCCGTACCGCATATAGAAGACCCTGCCCACATCAGCCGTGGCTATGGCAATTCCTCTGTGAACGACTTTGCAAACTCGCCGGCAGGCGCGCAACATGACCGCTCGCGCCTAGGGAGGTTCGAGGAGGATTTCGATGCGCGCACACGGGGCTCGTCTGTCCTTGACGGTGACATGCACCAGCGCTCCTCCTCGCGCTCCTCCACCCTGAACCAGGGCGCAACGCCTTCGCGCAGTGGCACCCTCAAGAAGAAAAGCTCAGTCAAGAGGACGGGAAGCATGAAGCGCAGCGGGAGCAGGAAATCCATGCATGCCGGATCCATTAGGGGCGTGACCATTGACGACCAAGAGCGCGGCTACGACCGCGAGGACAGTGTCTTCTACACACCCGTGCCTACCAAAGGCACCCCCACCGAGATACTGGCAGACCGATTTCAGAGTAGGTTGGCGCATGTGACTGTCCTGTCTAACTCACTGACATCCGATAGCCTGGCGCAAGTTCCTCAAAGACCTCATCACCTACTTCCGCGAGGTGGCAGCCTCCTACGAACACCGCGCCAAGTCGCTGCTCAAAGTGTCCAACGTGATCAACAACACCAATGCGCCCGCCGCTCTTCTCGTAGAAGGAGGCCTCAATGACGCCAACCGTATTCTCCGCGACTTCCACAAGCAGGCCATTCTTGAGGCCAACAAGGCGCGAGACGTTGAGGCAGATGTTATCAATCAGCTCAGCGGCCTCAGAGCCGATCTTGCACAAAAGATCAAGGAGATCAAATCGCTTTCAGGCGACTTCAAGAACAACGTCGAGAAGGAAAAGGAGACTACGAGGAAGTGCGTGACAGCACTTGAGGAGGCATTGGCCCTGGTCGATTCTGACCCCACTGCTGTCGCGGGCAAGGGAGATCCCTATGTCGTTCGTCTGGGCGTCGAGCGCCAAGTCGAGAGACAGATTGACGAGGAGAATTATCTTCACAGAGTAAGTCATCAGGCCCATATAGGCTACTCATAACTAACGAAAACAGGCGTACCTCAACCTTGAGAACTCTGGCCGCGAACTCGAATCCATCGTTGTTGGTGAAGTACAGAAGGCCTACAATGCTCTTGCTAGTATCTTGAAGCGCGATGCCGATGAGCAGTACAACACGGTAGAGAAGTTGCGCAATGGTCCGATTGCGATGCCGCGCGATCTCGAGTGGAGCAGGTTTGTGAGGAGCGACCCTCACTTCGTCAACCCAGACATGCCGCTGCGCAGACTGGAAGACATACAGTACCCCGGAAAATACCACCCAGCTACCACCGAAGTCAGGGCAGGCATGCTTGAGCGGAAGAGCAAGTATCTCAAGTCCTATACGCCAGGCTGGTAAGCAACCTATTCCTGTGAAACCACTTCATCTAACCGTTTGCAGGTATGTTCTATCTCCTACGCACATCCACGAGTTCAAATCGGCCGATCGCATCTACACTCAGCCTCCGGTCATGTCCTTGTATCTGCCAGACCAGAAGCTTGGTTCTCGTTCCCAGCCCGGAAGTTCCTCCCACAAGTTCGTTGTCAAAGGCCGTCAGGCTGGATCTATGCACCGTGGCCACACCTGGGTATTCCGGGCAGAGACTTACGAAACTATGGTGGCGTGGTTTGAAGATATCAAGGCCTTGACCGAGAAGAGTGGAGAGGAGCGCAATGCCTTTGTTCGTCGCCATGCAAGCGTCAGGAGCACCAGTGCTGGCAGCGCCCGTTCAGCGAGCTCTGATGGCGGTCTAGAAGAAGACGAGGCAGATGCAGTCCCGTTCTCAGCCAACCAGTCGATGAAGGAACAGGCCATTCGGGACCAGTCTCCGCGACCTTCACGGCCTTCTCCAGGTGGGCGATTCCCGTCTGATTTGATGGTCAACCGTAACTTACAAGCGCCTCTCTCGCCATCTAGTGGAAGTTCAGAGGTCGGCAATGATCTAACAACTATGTCCGGAGGTCCCCCACAGGAGGTTCACCCGATGTATCTTGCCCAAACCGCACCCTACCAGCCCGAACCGGTCCAGCCAGTCCAGTATACCCAGCCCATCCAGCATCAACCCCAAACCAATTTCGTAAATCCAAACCCACCCACTCAGCAGCCATATGATCCGCTGACTACTGACCCTTCTTCGTACACGCCCATTCCCCAGACTTACCCTGTCCAACCAGCCTCAGTCAACCAGCCATCCTTGGAGCATGCTCAACCTATCCAACGCCATGATAGTAACAACTACGGTAACTGGATGGCACCTGCTGTTGGAGGAGCAGCAACTGGAGTTCTTGCAAACGAAGCATACAGGAAGAAGCAGTTGGCTCAGCAACATCTCGATGCCCAACATCAGCAGGACCAAACACAACAATACCCGTTTGACCAGTCTCGAGCAGCGGCCTTTTCAGACGCTACTCCTACGCAGGTTCCAGAACGGCATCCGGATCACATCCTCCCCGACCAGATCGATGATACTGGCTACGTAGCTCCGTCTGCAGCACCTGCTGTGCAGCCAACATCTGCCCCGATCGTCGCACCTATCTCCAGTGGCCAGACTCAGCCTCATCATGCCAGCAGTCCAGATACACTAGCAACCACGTCGTCTTTTTTAGGCGAGTCTGAGGTCGGCGCCGCCCCTGCCTTTGGCAAGACTGTCAATGGGGGACCCGTTCCAGTCGACCTTGTGGATGCTGCAGACGAGATGGTTCACCCTGGAATGGGTAAGCGGATAAACACCGACATCAGCGTTAGTGATCTGCATGTTCCGGGTGAGTATCCCAAGACGACTGTCGGTGATGCCACGAGTGCTGCTAGGATGCCCACCGGAACCACAACGTCGCAGCAGCCCACAACTTTTCTGAAGTACAATTGATCAAGTAATGGCAACGACTGAACGAAATTGGGTCATGGATTATGTAGTAATACGAATCGGACGACTAGGATAAGGGCTTACGAACAATGGCCGGTCAAGGGCAGGCTATGGGTTTGGTAAAGAGCAGGTATACATCTGGGTTGCCTTTTTGTGATGACCTTTGCGATGGATGTTGCAACACCTTTCTCCGCGATTCTTTCTCTCGTTAGAGCGTGTGAGCACACGTGCTCATGCGTCTTCCATACCCCTTGATACCCAGCGTGATACACGTCACTAGTACATAGAGATGGTAATTTGTGTTAATATTTTGTTACAATCCATTCCTGAACGTCATTTTGTCTTGAATCTCACTGGAAAGGTCTCAACGATCGAAGACCATTCACTCAAAGACTGCATGTAAGCGATATATTCACCATGTACATGTTTCATGCTTTGCTCCTTGCATCTCATATATACGTCCGATATGCCTACCGGATGAACTCAACATGAACGCAGCTAGCCCGGTGAAGCCCTTTGGCAGCATTGAAGACGGCCTACTGCTGATCTCCACGTTGATGTAAAACATGGTGGACACGTTTCGGTTACATCTTCGGCCTCAACCCAGAAACACCAAGCTACTTCGTGGCACCAATACCGAATGGTTCAGCATACTCGCATTCGCGTTTCCAGGCTGAAGACGCCTACCACTGTGCCAACTCGTTGACATCAGCTTCAGTCCAGTTTCAAACCCTAGGACTTCAAAGCATCATGAAAAAGAAAAAAAAAGAAGCCCTCACCTCGGCTGTACTTTAATGTACCGAGTACCAGAGTCAGTATCATCCGCACCGCATGAAAAAACCATCAATGTCTGTCTAGATGCTTAGGTTCCAAGGCCTTTCCCCACCCTCCAATGCAGAATTCCTTCATTTCCTAGCCTGCACGCACCGACGCAGGTAGCCAGCACAAGGCCGAAAAAAGCAGAGATTACAAAAACAGAAGCAAGCTGACTCTCTCAGGTCGGGAAATTTGTACATTACCTCGGGGAGATCATTGTACCCTCCTCAGCCTCACGGCGAGAGCGAGAAACGAGGAGGATGAGGGTCGTGAAACAAGAGCAAAGCCGAAATCCACCGAACTGCTCCACCTTACCCAGCTACAAACAACGGACCTCCGGCAACGAGGGCTCTTTGCGTGCATGTCATTTCTTTGCGACATTTACCGAGAAGAATGCGGGGAAAAGGCGGTCAGCCTCTCACTTGCTCAGTTTCCTTGATCAACTGGCTCTTAACCTAGTGTTTCCTACTGTGTTGTAGGAGCGTTTCAATCCTAATTCGCGTGACCTTGGTCCCTCATCGAAAAGGGTGAAGATTATCCAGACGATCGACGCGAACAGTATGGGGTGGGCAAGGAAACGACGTATTATTGGTGGTATCTGAGCAACGTTTTAATGGTGATGCGCAAGGCTGAGGCTGAAGATGTTGGGGCTAGTAGCTAGGGGTGGCTGGTGCACAGTGAATGCTCGTGTGACACACAACCATGTGCGATATTGGCGCACAGGGCCTGGATATCATACTGTATTCATGACGTTGTCTGTGTGGCTGTGCCTAAGATACTTGTCATGTGTTGTGATGAAGAGATTGTTAGAAGCCAGCGAGACTTGATTGCAAAAGTTACAGCATGAGGACAGACAAGGAGACTGATTTATGGTAATTTTGATTGGCGGAGGTGGTAGATAGAGTAGCTAGAAAACGGGGGGTGCTTGTTGATGGTGGTGGCTACATGGCGACAGACAAGAGGAGCACACATGTGGGTAGAGAGCGGCAGGACAGAAACTAATGCCCTCAGGGTAAAGGAATGGCGTGGACGAAATTACCGTCCATATAACAAAGAACAAAGACAAGGGAGCGACCGTGGTGCTCTTGTGCGCCGGATGGAGTTTATAAGTGACCCATTCAATTGCCCGGTATCTAACACCCCATAAACGCCTAGATGAGGAAAAAAGAAAAGTTTGGATATAACACAAGAGAGGGGGAAAAGATTCTTCGCTGCAGCCGCCACAAATCTTTCTTTATCCTCGTCAAATGCTGGTCTCAACAACGGTATGGTGGTTCCGTCGTGTACTGAATAGTAACGGGCTAAATCGCAAGATGTTTCTTACTCTCGTCGTCAAAGCGTGATCGCGCGCATCGTGGTGCGAGACATGTATGAAGGAGATTAGGTGTATGCGTGGTCGGGGTATTGAGGTGTTCGTCAGCGACGCCAGTCGTGTAAAAGGGTCGACGTGAAGAGCGCACGTGTTGCGCTAATTGCCTTGGCTAAGGCACTTATACGTTGGTAACCTGACAGAGGATTAGTCGGCTACATTCCGCCACGCAGCATCATGGATCGCATACCTTCAATATCCGCCTCGAGTAGTCCTCGTTGTCTGCAATACTGCCGTTGCTCTGCCTCCGGTCAACGAAACTTGGGTCCAGACGAGAGTCGTTCATGGACGAGTTGCTGGTGTGTAGCTTGCCACCGTTGACGAAAGCATTCACGTTGGCGGCGTTGCGACGATAGTCTTCTTCTGCTTGGTGCTGACGTCTCCGGCGCAGTAGGAACCATACACCAAACATGATGGAGGCAAGGGCTAGTATGCCGACGACTACACCCACTGCGATGGCGACTGTGTTTGGTTTGCTGTCTTCGTCTTCCTTGGGCGCCTCGGATGGAGTGGCCGACGCTTGGGCGGCAGCGGTGGATGTTGGCGCAGCAGACGACGGCTTTGGTGCTGCTGAGCTGCTGCTGGACACGTCGGGCTCGTAATAGTCGACCGGGTTCAGAGTGTTTCCTGTGAGAACGACCCACAAGACGTTCTTTCCACCACCTATGCACTGTCAGTACCGAGCGGCATGAGAAGAGACGATCAGCTTACATAGCGACGTATCGTCGCCGGCACAGGGGGTACCGCATGTCTCGTTCTTAGTCTGCCAATCTTTGGCGGGTATCTCGTCACCACACCAACATTCCTTGCCGTTGGACAGGCCCATGACGTCCTTGTTTTGCTCCAGGCAAACGAGTTGGCAGTTACCAGGCGACTGGAAACCGTATGGACCGTGGTTCTCGAGTGGGGTTGAGGTCTCAAAGCAACCGATGCTGGTCATGGCACTTGCTGGCAGGGTGACTGTTGGTGTGGTGATGGGGTTCTTGATCTTGGTTGCTGTCGGCTGTTCATCCGCAGCGGCGGCCATCATGACCATCGAGGCCGCCGCAAAGACGGAGGCGAATCTGATGTAGACCATGGTGGTGATGTGCTGGTTTGGTTAGTAGTGCGCGTGGGTCGATGTTCCCGATTTGTGTGTGTCGCACTGGAGTCCTATACACCGAGGCGTGGACACATGCAAGGCCTTGCGGGCGTGGGTTGGTCCGGCGGTGCGGGTGCGTAGTGGTCGAAGTGAGTGACTGTGAGCAGTTGGCCGTGGGTGTCGGGCTGGATGAGTATGGCGTTCAAGGCGGAGATGGAGTCGTCGTTCAACAGTCAACAGGCGCGATGGAGCTGAACTGGAGGCTCGGTCAACGATGCCCAGGGCCGTCTGGTGGTGTTGAAACGGGGGGCGTCGTGACAGAAGTCGAGGCGATGAAACTTGTCGGCTGCCCCTTGGAAAGTACCCCCGTAAAGTGACGCAAAAGGAATGAATCGACGGGAGATGGGTTCAGGATAAAGAGTGTAGTGTAGCGATAAAACGATTGTGGGTGTCGACGATTGACAGACGTGAAGCAGACAAACGAGAGGAGGCTCGGGCCCTGAGAGTGGATCGCAAGTGAAGAGCAAAGGAGAGTGCGCCCCAGTTGGGACAGGCAGGCATGTAACAGGGAGCAGGAGCCAGCCTTGGCAATTAGCCTGCGTCTGACTGCCGCCAACAGTGCATTTTAATTCCCATGCCGCCTAGAGCACACTCGACACACATCCAGATTGCATGCTGCCTCTGAGGCACCCCTCGCATCTCCTGTGCCAAAGTTTATCCTCGCGGTATTCACGCGCAGCTTCACGGTACACGTCCAGGGCCTCTCGTGTGCGCGACAGCCGGCCACGATGCCGACCGCCCTGGGCATGGCGCCGGCCCACTAGTGCCAGGAACGGCGCCGTGATTGGCTCGTCGGTGTTTCACCAAAGGCCACATGCTTGCCGGGGGACGGCAGGGGGTGGATGAGGACTAACCCAGGACCGCGCGGTCAGGCACGAAAGCGTCTAAAGCCCTCGGCCACCTGGGCATCGCTGACGTTGCGATATCCAGGACGCGCACGATGCTTTTTGGCCATGGACTGCAGGTCGAGAACGTTCTTGCGCTCCACTCCTCGCTGTTGGGAATGCCTTTGTCTGTCCAAGGCGGGAGTGGGGACGCGGCAGAGGGTCGAATCGCGTGTCCTCGATGTGGAATCTCATTTAACTCACTTCTGGAGCATGCAAGCCGTCGTCCGCTCTATCCGACATGCAAACACCTCAGTCCAGACATGCGCGGCCCGGCCTTATCGTGCTCAAAGTTTAAAAATACAGCATGAGCATAGCGCACCACGAAAGGAAGCAAGGACTCTGCTCCGAGAAAAAATAAAACATGCACGACAATTCCTCTGTGATTAAGTGGCTCTGCAATTCAACATTAACCGTTGCGCAACGCCTCTGCGCTCAACGGCTGAATTAGACAGACGTCAAGAATGCTTGGGTAACCTGAGACATGAGCGGACGCAACCGTGTCGTGTGAACTCTGCCCCAAGATTCATGCTCGTGTCAAGATTCCCCAGGTTTGTTGCAGGTAATGCCAAGTCGCCGGCCTGTACTGGTACCGAATCCCAAGCTTGCTCCAGGGCTGAATGGCCTGCTTCTACCCAGCTGTATTTGTCTTAGTCATCATGATCACGTGCATCTCCCACTTCCCGATTGGGACGCGACTTCACTGTCGAACCAAGCTTCACCAGGCCCTCCGATGACCAGCCACGCTTGATGCGCCGTCCGCCCATTGCCTGCCGCCGAGCAGTGCAATCGCTCCAATCTCCCTCTCCTCAGCACATATGGATCTCTGACAACCTCCTCACCGATGCCATTGGTCGATTTTTCCCCAGTTCGTGCCCGCAACAGAAGCGCCATGGCAGCCATGTTCCGGGACCATTGGAGGCCAGGAGGAGGGCAGCAAAACGCCGGATGACTGTCTCAGCCAACTTCTATCCCCAGGAAAACTTTTCGCCGCTGTTCAGCCTCGGTGCGCTCTTCGGCTTCCGCAAAGACACTCAACCCACTTGGAGATATGAAGCGCCGTCTCTACAGCACTACGTAGAGCCATTGGACACATGTACGTATATGCAGTCCGCCTCACCACATCACTTCAGCTAACACTGGTAGTAGCTCCTCATGTTCCAAGCTTGCCAATAGCACAATCCGACGAAATATCTACTGAACACGCACCGTCTACAACTAGCGCATTCCCATTCGGCGCACCGTATCCCTTCTCGCAGAACAATGCGCAGACCAAACTGCAGGGCAGAGTAGGCCGGCTAGGAGGATTCAGCACAGATGCTGTGACCGCGGAGACGCATTTTAACAATTTCGCGACACAGATTTCAAACGCAGAAGTTCTGTCCACGGCCGAACGCCGTCGATCCTCACATCAGGCCTGGATATTATGTCGACCAGTTGACAGTAACGCTTGGATCTACAACGTTATGGTGGTCAAACATCTGACAAGCATTCGTTGGGATCCTACGCGCATCCTTTCCAACCTCAAGTTCTTCGATGTCCCTCCCACCTATACGCCTGAAAGTCTTGACTTCTTAAGGTGCCTCGAGGCTTCTGGTGCACATCATGCTCCTCGGGTCTATCACCGCCTATATGTCAAGATGGTTAGAGCAGCCACATCTGCTGCAGCTTCAACAAGTTTATCACAGGATACCGAGCTACTCACGTTAGTTCGATTAACCTATCAGAGCTGTTTACGCAGCACAAAAGCCATACAAGGCGTTGTAGACGACTTGCGTATGCTTGCAAACAAGATTGAGGCACCTGCCATTAAGAAATCGCTGCTTTCTGAACTGGCTGGCAGCAATAACGCAGCCGAAAGTATCAAGGTTTTAGTCGCAAGCGCTGCTCAAGGCCGTTCTCCTTGTGCGTTTATTGAGGAGATGCTCCTTTTCTTGCCTAAAGAGCAGCTTCGACTACAACTCCCATCAATCACACGGTCTCTCGTCGAAGCCGTTGAGCGGAAAAGCCGGCTGCCAACTGAGACATGTTGGTACCGTCTGAATGTGTGGCTGGGTGTCCTCGAAAACCTCGATAACAGATTCAATGTTCGCTACACTGATACCGGTTATACGAACGCCGCCTTTGTGGAAGTGGTTGAGCATGCATTCGAGAGTAATCATTCGAGCGTAGTGCGACTGCACGCAGTGCTCTATGCTCTCGTATTCCGAATGGCACAACGGCAGCCGGAGTTTGCCAAACACAAGGAAAGCTTGTGGCGGGTTGTCAGTGCCTCTGCTGTCTCTGCGCTAGAACAAGACGGCACGGTACGAATCGAGGAGGATGTAGTGATGATCTTCTCGCACATGCGTAGAGCCTCTCTGCCATATGAGCCAATATTGCGCATTGCTGCTAATCTTTTCGCATCGCATGCCAATCTATACTCCATGCACAGATTCCTCATTGCCCTGGAGAAGCATGAATTTCTACTGGACAGAGTATCGAGCATTAAAACTCGCATTACGGCAGAACTGTCTTTGCTTCGACAACACATAAACGCTCAGACGCTCGACCGAAATGGACACCATGCCTTCGCGTTACAAACATGTCAGAATATACTCAATTCTCTAACAAGGATCGCTAAACCAAGCGTCTCGATTGAAGGCGTCAACATCGAAAAACAGACAAAAGAGGAGATCAAAAAGGAGATCAAAACTCTGAAAGCCAGTAGGGATTTTACTGCAATCCTTGACTCCGCTTCGAACGATCACGCTCTGCCACAAATTTATGCGAACCTTACCAACAACATCGCACCCTCTCAACGTACAGTCCTTATACACCAATTAGCTCACCACTACTCCCTCGATGCCACTCGATCGCAGCGGGCGGCTTGGCGTTCCATATACACTCTTTACAACTACCTCAAGTCGTACTCTCTGCCAATCGGTCCTCTGTTTACCAAAGCCGTAGTCCGAGCCGCCATCATTCGACCTATGATGGAGCATAGGTTCATTAGCGCGAGGAGATTGATCTGGGTATGTCAGTTGGTTGCTAGGGTCGAAGGCGTGAGTGTAGCAAAGCAGATTGAGAATCTTTTTTGGCGCTGGAGAGGTGACGTGATCGCGCATGCCAAGCAGGTGCATGTGGCCGCTCGTGGCGATCGTAAGGCGAAGGCCATGGTGAGCGTGTTGAAACAGCTGAATATGCTGGGCCAAGGGGGAGATTAGACGATGTTGCATACTCAGCAAGGCGCAAGAAAACGTATACCCGATAGATAACACATTATAAAATACATGTTGCAATTGACCTGACGCTGATACTCTAACAAGCATACTTCACAGTCCGTACATACTACGTTAGAATTGCGTAGACCAATCTGCGAACCTATTTTCCATTTCTGTGATATCTAGGTTGCATCGCATGTCCATCTCTGGAGAAGAGTCGAATACTCTGGCTAGTGCAGCTAAGGACGTAACAGGTGGGCTGCTGACGCTCACAAGATCAAACCTTGGAAACATACCCCACTTCGGACCACCGCTCTCCCCACTCCCGGATTCTACATCATCGTGTGTTTGGCATCAAAAGAAACACCAAGTCACTGGACAGAATCGATGCGACTGACTGGAGATTGATTCTGAAGGTTGCGCTAACACTCCCGCTTTACCGACGTCATCGGGTTGACCTTGGAACATACCTCACGAACAACGCATTCGTTCGACTTGGATTATGCCTGTAACGCACGAAAGTGCAAGAGTGCGAATAACTACATCATCTTTTTGGTTCTGAGACAAGAACGCGACCGGAAAACTACCACCACGCGAAATATCGCAGTCCTTTTCCTCACACAAGCGCGGCACAAATTGCGATAAAGGCTAACATCAGAAGGAGTGGTTCCATTCTAGAAGATCAGCTAGCACCTAGTCCCAGGAGCTCACAATGGATCAGCCTAGCTCCCCTGCTAGGCCTACTATCGAACAATTACGACATGTTGTCAACAACTATCCCCTCATCGATAACCACGCACACAATCTCATCCTGCCTCACCAAGCAGATACGATACCTTTCGAGACCATAACTACGGAAGCCCAAGGAAGAGCTCTAAGAGACACGTTCAAATCCCTTCCTCATTTGCGAGCAGCTAGACAGCTAGGCCAACTTTACGAATGCGGCCAAGACGCAGATTGGGAGGACATTCTGGAACAGAGGGTTGAATGGGTTCGAAGCAATTCCGAGCGTCTACATCAGCGATGCTTCGAGAACGTACACGCGTTACTCATCGATGACGGACTTGCCGGACCAGAAAAGGTCTTTCCCTACAATTATCATGATCGTTATACCAAGGCACCCAGTAAGCGCATTGTACGTATTGAGACAGTCGCTGAGCGCTTGATGGAGAACCTTGTTCAGGACGCATCAGAAGACGACCTGGGGAAGACCAAGTTCCTACCACAGACCTGGACAAACTTCACTGAGGACTTCGAGCGCGAGATTCAAGAGGCCGTTGAGGACGACAACGTCGCTGGGTTCAAATCTGTCATTTGTTACCGAACAGGGCTCGACATTGAGCCAGAATATGAGGAAGCTGCAAAAACTGTTGGGCACCCTTTCGAACGCTACGTTAAGAGCTGCATTCGCAAACGCAATTACCGTATTGAGAAGAAGCACCTGAATGACTATCTCGTTTTGCGTACCCTGGAGATATTGTCGGAGCGACTACCTCATTCTGATTCCCTTGCGAAGCCATTTCAGCTACATACTGGTCTTGGAGATAATGACATTAGCCTTCTTGAGTCCAACCCTGCTTTCCTCCAGCCATTGATTGAAAACTACCCACAGGTACCATTTGTACTTCTTCATTCTGCCTATCCGTATACGCGCGAAGCCGGCTACCTCGCAACTGTATATCGACACGTGTACCTTGATATTGGCGAAGTCTTCCCAATGGTCAGTAGGGATGGCCAGAAAGCGATTCTACGACAATCCATGGAACTTGTCCCGGCCAGTAAACTCTTGTATTCCTCGGATGGGCACTGGTTTCCAGAGACCTATTGGCTTGCCAATAAACAGTTCCGCGAAGTCTGGCTCGATGTGAGTTTGTTGATGTACCGGATCGCCTGCTTGCCCATGCTAATTGATACAGCTACTCGTAGAGTACATCCAGAAAGGCGACCTAACACCGCATCAAGCGATTGGCATGACGAAAGACATCATGTTCAACAATTCCAATGTGCTATACGACTTACGCTATGAGGCTTTCTTCGATGAAACAGTACAAGCAGATCCAAAGCAGCTCACATACAACCCGAAGCCAGTCGAAGCTTCGCCTTATCAGTCTCCAGCAGTAACACCAATACCCACCATGGGCTTTCCCAACCGGTCCTCAGCTTCCAATGCGCAAGCTACTCGATCAGTCTCTCCGTACACACAGCCAGCTTTCCCTCCACCGCCAAAGGCACCGTAAGTAATGTCTGTACGAACTATATGTGAGACAAATACTGACCTCGTACACCGATCTTCAGGCAAGTCTACGATATTCAGCTGTTTGACGATTTCAAGGAGAAGAATCCCACAGTGAAGTTCATTTACGTACAATGGCTTGATTACATGGCCACAATCCGTAGCCGCATAGTTCCCATCAAGGAGTTTACTCGCATGATAACCGAAGGGGAACGTATCGGTATATCCCAGGGAAACATGGGCACCCTTCAAAATGACCACATAACGCCCGTCACAAATACGACGGGCCAGATATACGTCGAGCCGGACTTACGTTCTCTCCGCAGAACGCACAACAAAGATCCGCTACCCGCTGCAACAGTACTCAGTTACTGGCGCACGGAAAATGGTTCTGCGCTTCCAGAAGACCCGCGGAACAACCTTGAGACGCTTATCAATGACCTCCAATACAACTACGCCACAACACTTCTTATCGGGTTTGAAATTGAAGTCACGTTTCTTTCCCGAAACCCCCCTTCGGCATCAACCAACCCTTTCGAAGCTGAGCCCTACTGTCAGTATACCCATACAAACTGCATATGCGACATATACTGACTTTATACGCCCGGATTTAGCACCCCTGACAAAAACCCACGCATGGGGCACACTAACACCAGAACAGTGGCTTCAGCTTCCCTTCCTTAGCGAAATCGTTCTGGCACTTGAGGACATGGGTATTGAGGTCCAGCAATTCCATGCCGAATCAGGACCGGGACAGTATGAATTCGTACTTCCGCCCCATCCTCCTCTCCTTGCAATTGACACGCTTCTCCAGGCCAGACAGGTCATCGCTCAGATAGCTAGTCTGCATGGGCTACGTGCGACGCTTCATCCCAAGCCCTTTGAAGGCATTGGTACGGCGGCTCATGCGCACATCAGCTTGCACCCACCAGAGCGTGATATGCAGTTTTTCGTTGGAGGTGTCTTGAAGCACTTGCCTGCCATCTGTGCGTTTAGCATGCCCGAGGAAATCAGTTACGAACGCGTAACGGAAAACTCTTGGACAGGCGGAGCATGGGTACGTTCTCTGTTTTGTGCTTTGATGATACCTATTGCCCCTTCACCATATTGTCTAGATGTATAAATAAACTGACACTTGGAAAAAGGTAGCATGGGGGACCCAAAACCGTGAAACGCCACTCCGACGCATATCTCCAGGTCATTGGGAGCTTCGCTGTCTTGACGGATTTGCAAACATGTACTTTGCTCTTTCTGCTGTTCTCGCCGCTGGTCTACTCGGTCTCGCTGCGAACGAACCTTCTTTCCCGGAACAAGACATCCAAGTTAACCCTTCGACCATGGACGAGCAGATGCGGGCTGAGTTTGGTGTAATGAGAAGGTTGCCGAGAAGCATGCAAGAAGCTGTCACATCGCTGAGAGCGGATATGCCACTTAACGAGGCTTTGGATCCCGCATTTTTGAAGGCATATCTATATATGAAGGGCGAGGAAGCAAAGATGTTGGGGGATATGGGCGATGGCGAGCGGAGAGTGTTTCTGGTGGAAAGGTATTGATGGCTTCTCGCATCAAACACATACGCGTGTCAGCAACCAAACGGTGTGGTAGCAGTTAATATCAAAGTGTAAATGTTTCTTTAATCTGATATCTAATGTGACAGCGTGATGTGCGAATGGTCTGGTTTTCAAGAGTCTGATCAAGTATGATTCTGTACATCAACGTACTTGTGTCGTGAGCGAACTACCAGACCAAAACGCATTGCAGATAATTGCAAAATCAGCTATTTCCTTGAGGTTGTACGGGGACACAATTTCACAACATGTTATTAAGCCAGATTTTCAAACGATCCAGTATCATGTTTCGGACAGGTTAAGGTCTCATTTCAATGTGTACCATACAGAAAGTATAGTACAACTATTATAATTTCACCTAAGCCAAAGAAAACCACAGTACTCTTCTGGGACATACATTCAAGATGATGCCAGCAAACCCAAGGGGAATAAGCGCAACCCAACGCAAACTATGCAAGATAAATGTCAAGTCGAGCCATCTCTACCACGTCTACTACTCAATCCTAGATCTTACAACAAGATCATGGCCATTCCGGAGGCGACAGCGGCAACAACGTACAGACCCATGCCGAAAGCGCCATTGGTGAAGTGAGGAGCAGAGAGACCAGACGCGGCACCAGCGGAGCCAGATGCAGAGCTGGAGTCAGAAGCACCACCAGTAGCCTTGGCAGCAGCGCCAGAGACGGAACCGGTGCCGTCAACACCAGCGTCCTTGAGAAGGCCAGAGCAGCCGGAAGCAGTGGGCTTAGCAACGGCCTTCTTGGTGGTAGCCTGGCCCTTGAAGTCGCAGCCGCCGCTGACCTTCTTAGCGTAGGCGTTGAGAGCAAAAGAGAGCTGCTCGCGGCTGGAGCACATGCCGTAGACACCATAGGGACCGGCAGTGGCGTTCTTGTTGATACCCTGGCAGTACTCGCCATCCTTCTCACCGCAGAGGAAGCCGAACATGTCGCCGAAATCCTTCTCCTCGGTGTCGTCGGCGACTTGGCAGCTAAGAGTCTCCATCATGCACGAGCAAAGATTGGCGTTGGCGACAGGAGGGAGGGGGTCAGACTCGGCTTCCCACTTGCCAGATGTAACCTTGGGGCACGAGGCGGCAGCAGTGTTGCTAGGGTTGTACTCAGACATCTTGACGCCGACGGGAGTGGCCTTGGCGATTTGCTTGGACAAGTTGTCAAAGTCCTCGTTGGTCTCAACCTTGCCGTTCTTGATGGAAGCAAGACCTGACAGTTGTTAGAAGCATCATACGTCGGAAAAACAGTGAACTTACCGAATTCGTTCTCCTCCTCGAAGTACATGTAGACAATACCGCCGGACCAGACACCGGTCATGTCCTTGCCGTAAAGAGCCTTGACTTCAGTGAACTTACGAGGGCGAGGAGTGTTGCAGCCGTATTCAGCGAAGAAGACTGGGACATTGTACTTCTCGAAGTTCTTGGTCTGGACATCGAAACCGGACTCGGTGAATGAGGAGTCACCGCACCACGAGTAGATGTTGTAACCCCAGAAATCGATGGCACTGTCAGAGTCGCCGCAGTCGAAGTAGTTGGCCATGTTCTCACGAATATCAGCATCGTCGTTGGTAGCATATCCGACACCAATCTCGCGGTAGTTCTTGCTCTTGATGTAGGCCTTGGTGTCCCGGACGGCAGCCTTGACGAAAGCGCTGGCAACGGTGTTGTTGGGCTGGTTGCTGACCTCGTTTCCAGCAAAGAAACCGAGGGTGTTGTCGTACTTCATCATCTCGTCAACGACGCTGGTGTAACGGGCGTACAGTTCGACAGTCCAACCGGGGTCGTCACGGTTAATCGACATTCCTGGCTCAGACAGATCGGCTACGACATAGATGCCGGCGTCTGCAAGCTGTGTCATACAGTCCTCATGGTCCTTCTTAGGGTCAATGGCGTAGACACGGATGGTGTTGGTCTGGAGCTTCTTGAGCTGCGCAATGTCGCGCTTGCATGCTGAAGAGTCGGCAAGGGGATCGGTGATGTCAATCTCGTCGGTTGAGGCGGCTGTGGAGTTGGAGTTGACTTCCTCTGCGTTGTGTAAGTAGTGTGCTATGCAATTAGGATAGTACTGGGCGCGTACGTTGGTATGCAACACCCTTCATGAAACTGTCTGGTTGTTAGCTTGGCTTCATCTTGGTGTCTTGGTGTCTCTTACAATTGTTCACCACTGTTCTTGTGGAAAAACTTCTGACCCTAGGCATTGTTAGACATGGAAGTCGCACCTATCGCACGACATCATACCTTGATGACAATGGGGTCAACGGCGGCTTGGACGCCTGCGAGTAGGGCCGCTGTAGCAAAAATTCCGCGCATATTGGTAATAATAGTATAAGACTGCTTCCAAGAGCTGTGGTGGTGTTGGCGAGAGCTTGGGTTGATTCGCCGAGAATCACGTTTAAGAGAGTGTAGAGAAGTTGTTTGAGCAGGTGCAATGAGATCAAAGAGTGTGGCGCAACAGCGAATGAGGCTGTATGCGAAAAACAAATTATTCAAGGACGTAAAGACAGACTGGTAAAACAGAAAAGTGAGTGTAGAAACGACTCTGAGGCACAATGAGTGAAGAAATGTATGGTGAACCAAGCATTCCAAGAGGGATCAGCGAGGTTCACCTGTACCCCTGATACTAGGCTTGTTTCGCAATTACTGGTCCAAGCGCCTGCCTTCGAGACCTTCTATGCTTCTATTGCACCAGCAGCAACTGTCAAGATGTCATGTTGATAATCGACATCTGACCATATGTTTAACGCGAAAGTCGGCCTGTTTTCAAAACACTTTTTAAAGTCATCATAGCAGTTGCGAATTGTCAGCGCGGCTCGGAGTCGAGAATCGCGGTCTCGACGCATACGTACACCCAATTTCGTGTACCCCACCAAGAAGCCGCCTGATGCCCCACTGCGGATCATGTTGCTAAATTGAAGTGCATCTCTTCAGATGTCAAGGTACGCGTGCCGAACGGTCCCGGTGCGTCGTATGAGAATATACGAGAAGTTCGGCGGAAGTCGAGGCTGCGGATCATAACCTTGGGGATGGGGATCTCGTGAGTATGGACAAAGGTCGTCTATGCTTGGTTGCACAGCCTCGTGGAGTTTCACCGAGAGCGGCACTTGACGCGCGGGAGGCACACGACACGCAGTTTGTGCAGCTGAAACATAGGCGTAGGTGTGGCAAAGTCGCTCGAGCCGTGAGGCGGCCAATGGAATATGATGCGCACACGAACAGATGCAGCTGAGCTGGTGTTCGGTGTCTGCGACGCGGGCCCAGGCGGCCATTGGTCATCACGATGGCATGGCGGCAATGCTTCGGGCCGGCAGCTGGCGCCCCCGACAGCGTTTGAGAGTAATGCTTGCATTCATGGCTTGCGGTGCCTGTCAAGGATGGTGCGCGATTACTTATGTATCGATAGGGCTGTTGTAAGCTCGAGGGTAACATGAACAGAGTTTGCATGCAGACGTAATCATGAGCTTAACTGCCAGCCCAGCCTTACTATGGTAGCTTCCAAGTTGTTCGCTCTGGAGCCGTAGCCGGCTCATTTGCCTTGCCATGCAGTCGACGTTGGAAACCGGGCAGCCTAATATAGCTCACTTATGCTAGGGCCCATGTCGATTTGATTTGCGTGCGGTGAGGGATTCCGTCATAGTGCGGTGTCGTTCAGGTTCATGCACGACTCAGGAGAATCACATCTGTGCAAAGTGACAGCGGCTTTGGGACGTCTGAAGCAAAACATACAAGCGCGGCGGGCAAAAGGATTGGGGGGCGTTGAGCATCCGGTGTGCTCGGGTGTGGTGGCAGACTCAACAGAAGCACTAGGAGCGATTGGCGGCCGTCAGCCCCCTATGCATTGCGACACCAAGCACCGTTGACCTCAAGATGAGCTAGGGCTAGGGCGTTGCGGAAGCGCGCCACGTCGCGATTGGATGTCAGATAAGAAACTTATCGTCGCTATCGCGCCGGTCGAGCAGCGGGCGAAGATGGCGGGAATGATTTGGTCTGCCGGGTCGCTAGTCGTTGTCTGATCAGCGCGGGCCTCTGGCACCGTGCGGTGCAGCCTCTGTCTATGGCTGGGGGCAACAGTCGTGACGTGAAGGCCATGACGAATGCAACGAGCGTGAAAGGCAAGCAGAAGCGGAGGAAGGCAAGGGAGAGTGGTAGCATCCAGCTGTCAGCCGACTCACCCAAAGCGATGGTGCATCTGAACCGGTTGACGGCAAGCAGAGTGGGCAATGTCTTTGTTGGTATCTTCGGGAAAAGGTATTATCGATATGCAACCAGATCGGAGATCCCATGGTAGTCTGGTTTCCATTCCCAGAAAACTCGCGCCACCGCCCTGGGAGACGAGAGCAGAGAGGCTGGGAGGAGCAGTGGGAACAGCAGATCAGAGCATCTGTAGCTCGAGTGAGCGCAATCGTGCATCTTTGTAGTGTGCATATGTCCATGATCTCCGATGCCGTTTTTAGAGGGGCGACTCAATATCGGGAAGTGAATGCTAGCGAAGGGGACCCATGCGCAGCGTCTCTGACGGCGTTAGGCTAGCTTGGCGGTCGTACCTTTCATTTTCAGGGGAAGCTGCTAAAAAGCTCTTTGCCTGCCCTTCCGCATTCCACACTGTCGCTCACTCACCCACCCTTTCTTCCCCCCGTGTCCGTTTTCTTCTACATTGCCTCTCGTTTCATTGCGTTGAGGCTGTGTAGTGTACTCGCCGACAGCTCTCTCGACGCTTAAAGAGGAGAGCCGCTACCCGCCACTTCTACCAGCCTAATTCCAACTTTTGCCCCAGCGACTGACAAGCGCCGATTCGCCGCGCGTCTCTCCTGGCAACCACGACACGGCTGCATAACCAGCTTTCCACTCGCTCGTTACGACCACAACATTCGACTCTCGCCATCAAGCAGGCACGAGCAATCCGCCGTGCTACTGAGAGATCGTCACCCCAACACACTCGTTCAACAACAACAATCCGCACCCCAGTGCTCCTCGCATCAATTGTCTTACACGGCAGTCCATCTACGAGCAATTTGACTCTGCCGCTCCTAATGCCCATTGTTTGAGGTACGGCCATTCTTCCGACGTCTGCCGTTTCACCACTGGCGGCTCCCCGTGCGACACTTATTGACACTT